TTGAATAAGAATTTATTATCTTAATATTGCACAAAATCTCATACACTCACAAATAAGAGAAATTTATAAAAAAAAAACACCAAAGTTTTATATTGAAAAACGAAGAGAGAATAACACTGAACTTGGGTTAGTTGAAATAATTTATTTTGTTAAAAGATTATAGAATTTCTCTCACCCCTTAATTAAAAAAGATGATGTTACATAATAAGGAACCCTAATTTGATATCATTTGTGTATGTGGAGAATGCTAAAGAAATTGTGAATTATGATGATGACAAAGATTAGAAGATGAATATTTGTTGATCAATATTAGTGTCATTGACTGATGGTGAAAATCAAGAGGTAGTCATCGAGTGACAACGGTGGAGCAACATGGATCTGATGATTGTGTTTAGGTAATGATAGTTGATGATTAATCAACGTTGGTTTTCGCAGCGATTTTAAAGAACCGCTGCAAATAAACGTTGCGATATGACCTGTTTTTTGGTAGTGTGATCGTCTCTCTTGATAATTAGATATGGCTCTAGAATTATATAGATCCCAAACAAAATTGTAAGCACGAAGTGAACTGAAAATAAATCAAATATAAACCAAATACAAAGATCTATCATTTTAAATGAATTAAACTTGAATACAAATATAAAGGCTTGAATCACTCCTGAACCAAGCTTTAGCTAGCTAATACAAAATAAGCTCAAACATGAACAAGCATTTGCTTGACTCGGCTCAATTCATTTTATTTTATATATAAAATTTTGTATGAATTATAATAATTCTCTTCAAGTTGTACATTTTTTCTAGTTTTATTACATGCTAGATTTTTTTTTTTTTTCTTATTTTTATACAAAATATTGGCACTCTTGACTAGAAGTACCAGAAACTTGATTTTTTTATGAGAAAAATCAAAGTATGACAAAAATTATAGGGTCTTATCCAATTACAATAATCAAATATATAATTGAAGATACAAGAATAACATTTTTCTTATAATTACATAAAATGAGATCATACAAAGTTGAAAATAATTGTCTGATTCTCAATATAGGGGTTACAGAAATAAGGTGTCTACAAGTAGATAATTAAAGCTCAACAATAAAATTAGATGTTAATAGTCAAGCAATAATATTTAGATGAAGGAAATCTAGAATTGATGATAATGGTGGTCGACTATCATCATTGGAATTTACAATATTATTCTTAAGCTCTCTCTTCGTTCTCAAACCTTCAAACAAGAAAGACATGAAGCCCTAATTAAAATTTAGTCATTGTTTGGGATTGATTTCTTGCTTCTTTTTAAAATAACTTTTTAGTATAAATATTTAAATTTTTATACTATGAAGCTACTTAAAAAAATAACAAAAAAGTCATCCCACACAAAACCTTAGATAAACCTAAATTTAATTTTAAAAATTTTAATTTAAATACATATCAAAATTCTTATCCAATCAAACATATGTATAATGACGCATCAGTTGCCTTTCATTTTCCAACATCAAAACTTCGAGGAAATCATGTAATTTGACCCAATTTTTCAAATCAATCATTGCTTTGTTCTTTTGAAAATTGATGTGCCTTGTGCAACTCTCTTTGGTATGTTGATTGAGAGCTTTTGCTAATAATTAAGAAATCCATATGTGATATGCATGTGCATTTATGGATTAATTATTTTGTGCCGACGATGAATGTAATTCAGAGACCAACTATAATGCATTATGTTACCCCTTCGCTCAGTACCGTAGCTTGATAATGCTCGGTACAGCGGCTTGGTACCGCTGATGTGGCGCATTCCGGTTGATCTCTAGATGACGTATGCGTACAATTAGGGGTGTCAATTTCGGGTCACGGGTCGGATTCGTGTCAACCAGAAACTTGATTTTTTTATGAGGAAAATCAAAGTATGACAAAAATTATGGGGTCTTATCCAATTACAATAATCAAATATATAATTGAAGATACAAGAATAACATTTTTCTTATAATTACATAAAATGAGATCATACATAGTTGAAAATAATTGTTTGATTCTCAATATAGGGGTTACATAAATAAGGTGTCTACAAGTAGATAATTAAAGCTCAACAATAAAATTTGATGTTAATAGTCAAGCAATAATATTTAGATGAAGGAAATTTAGAATTGATGATAATGGTGGTCGACTATCATCATTGGAATTTACAATATTATTCTTAAGCTCTCTCTTCGCTCTCAAACCTTCGATCAGGTAAGAGATGAAGCTCTAATTAAAATTTAGTCTGTGTTTGGGACTGCTTTCTTGGTGTTTTTTAAAGAAACTTTTTAGTACAAATATTTTTTATTTTTATACTTAAATGTTGCTTTAAAAAATAACAAAAAAGTCATCCAAAACGTAACCTTAGATAAACCTAAATTTAATTTTAAAATTTTTAATTTAAATACATATCAAAATTCTTATCCAATCAAACATATGTATAATGACGTATCAGTTGCCTTTCATTTTCCAACATCAAAACTTCCACAAAATCATAAAATTTGACCCAATTTTTCAAATCAATCATTGTTTTGTATTTTTGAAATTTGAAATGCCTATAGTGATTGAGAGCTTTTGCTAACAATTAAGAAATTCATATGTGATATGTATGTGCATTTATGTATTAATTATTTTGTGCCGACGCCGAACGTCATCCAGAGACCAACGAAAATGCGTTACCGTGGCTCAATACTGCTCGGTACAACAGCTCGATACAGCTGATGTTGCCCATTCCGATTGATCTCGGAATGGAGTCTGATCATATGGCCTCCGCACAGAATAATTTCCAACATTTATGACCTAAATATAAAAAAGAAAATAATGCCTGCAGGAAATCGTGTAATTTGAACTGCTGATGATATTAACCACTCGATGGTAACGGTGGGCCCTGAAAACATTATCCCTGGTCCGGGACCACCTAAACTCTGGCACAGTACCCGGAATGGGCCCATGTCCTCGACACGTTCTCACGGCCCATATCACGCGGGCCCATCTCCAGACCAACTACGGAGCTCTTGACAAGGAGAGAGCCCAGAAGCCGTCCCACGATCTTGTTTTGCCGTCGCCCTTCGATCTCTGTTTATGCTGAGCTGGCTTTCTAGACAAATTTAATTATAGTTATTAAAAGTTAATACTAATTACGTTTAACTTAGATCCCAAATCTCAAGATAAAAAAAACTTCGTATGAGATATTTTGCAATCTTGGTTGAGCTGATTAGTTTTTCGTGCACATGAATTAATTTAGAATTAATTTAGAACAATTTTTTTAATATTTTGTTCTTCAAATGAAAATATAATTTTATTTAACAATTATTTTCATTATTTTTTTATAATTTTTTTGTGATGGAAAGCTATTTTTTTGCTTTTGAAGTTGTTTTTTCATAGTAATGCTTCATTTGAGATGTATTTTTTACTTCTTATTAAAATAATGTTTTAGTAAAAAAATTAAAAATTTTGCATTAGAAAGTTATTTTAAGAAGTAATAAAAAAATCATCTCAAATAAAACCTAAGGACATCTCCAACCGAAAACTCCATTTTTCACTCTAAAATATCGTAAAATTTTAAAATGCGTTAGTTCATCTCCAATGGAACTACATTTTTCTTTTTTCGCTTGTTTCTTTGCGAATGTTATCATATCTCTCCTGTTTCGCACGCTTCCTGTGAAGCTAAGCAGAGTGCGAAGGTAATCGCTTTTTTTGGCATAGGTGAACAGTCTGTCGCCAATATTAGCGTGCAATATTCACCTACCGATTTTTGGCATAAGATTTAGAATTCGAATACAGCTATTCACGAACGACATACAATGATTGGAGATTATCTAAATTCACAATCAACATTATAAAATATTAAGTTGGTCTTAAGACTCAAGCAAATTCTCAGTTAAAAAAAAATTAAAATTTATTGTTAAAATTTTAGTATTGAATTTTATCCATTTTAAAATATATTTTTAAAAAATACCTTGATATGATAATAGTGATAATGTTCGGGTGTTCAAATGGTGATTGAAAGATACTAGAAAACATAGCTCACCTTGACTTGTTGGTTGAGTGCTTATATTTTCAATTAAGAGGTCTTGGGTTCGAGTCTTTGTGTATGCGTTGTGCGTGTGAATTTATCTTAAATGACCTAAATGTCCAAAAAAAAAAAATAATAGAAATGCTAGAGTCTAACTAGTTCTATTTTTGTATATATTTTTATAAATAATGAGACCAGCTTTTAAAATTTTGCACTATTATAAAAAAAAGTTTGGATATAATAAATAATTTCTTAGCTTTCTTTATTTTTATTGATTTAAAAATAAATATGTTTTTGGTGCTATGGGGTTAGCGATTTTCGAGGGAGAAATGGAGTAACTCCAACCGAAAACTCCATTTTTCTTTTTTCGCGTGTTTCTTTGCGAATGTTACCATCTCTCTCCTGTTTCGCATGCTTCCTGTGATGCTAAGCAGAGTGTGAAGGTAATCGCTTTTTTTGGCACAGGTGAAAAGTCCGACGTCAATATTGGCGTGCAATGTTCACCTACTGATTTTTTGCATGAAATTTGGAGTTCAAATACAACTATTCACGAACGACATACAGTGATATACAGTTCAGTTGGAGATTATCTAAATTCACAATCAATTTTATAAAATATTAAGTTGGTCTTAAGGCTCAAGCAAACTCTAAGTTAATAAAAAAATTAAAATTTATTGTTAAAATTTTATGATTGAATTTTATCCATTTTAAAATTTATTTTTAAAAAATACCCTGACATGATAATAGTGATAATGTTCGGGCGTTCAAATGGTGATCGAAAGATACTAGAAATGCTAGAGTCCAACTAGTTCTATTTTTGTATATATTTTTATAAATAATGAGATCAGCTTTTAAAATATCGCACTATTATAAAAAAGTTTGGATATAATAAATAATTTCTTAGCTTTTTTTATTTTTATTTATTTAAAAAAATATATGTTTTTGGTGCTATGGGGGTGGCAATTTTCGAGGGAGAAATGGAGTAACTCCGTGCAGGCTTTCTACCGTGGGATACGAGAGAGAGATAGAGAGATATTTTCCCCAAAAAAGAGAGAGCGAGCGAGCGAGCGGAGAGAAAGCAAAAATAGCGGGTAGCGCGGGAGTGGGAGACGACGAAGAGGAGTGATGTGAGCTGGATAGCGGACAACGAGAACGCCGGAGGAAGAAAGGCGTCTGTTTCTGCTTCTATTCCAAGTAAAGGTTATTGAAGAAGTTCGCTTGCGACGCAATCCACCTGCGCTCTCTCGTTGTTAGAGGGATTGAAACAAGTGGGGAAACAAAGACCAACAGTTATCTTCTTCAGGAGCTGAGACACTTCAGAGATTTGGATTCGGGTTCTCTGTTGTATGAAGCGGTGTTGTTAATTAGTAGATGAAGGGCGTGCCCTTTAATCTCCAGTGGAACGGAGCGCTGCAAATAGCAGAATCGCAACAAAGTGGAACCGTTGTGGAAGAAAAAGGCAGCGCCTTCTGGGTTCCCGGTGGTCATAAGAGGACGAAAGGCGGAGTCTTGGAGCCCTTGTCGTCTCTGAATCAGACAAGGAGCCCGAGCTCTCCTTCATCTACGTCAACCCTCACTTCCCTGGGCGGCGGAGCTGCAGGTTCCATCGACACCGCCGGCGCGGCGGTCGTTTTCAACAACGTCGCCCTCAAATGTCCCAACTTGAACTTTACCTCCGCCGCTGCTGCCAACTCCCTGAACGATTGGATGCTCTCCGACTCAACTGCTTCTCCCGGCCAAGAACAGAACTTTCTCCACTTGATCATGGGCGACCTCGACGACAAGGGCTTGGGGCTCATCGATTCTGTCGTCGGATTTGCACCCATTAGCTTTGCATCTCTTGCTTCTTCCGATGACCTCTTCCAAATCAGCTGTGATAGCAACAGGAACAATCCTTCTTCCCTTCAACGACAGCCTCCCTGCGTTAAAACTCCCAATTTTTCGCCGCTGGCACCTAGTGTAACCACACCTCCGCAGATTTCCTTACCTCCGGCGATGTTCTTCCAAGAATCAATTGTTGAAAAATCACAGCTCTTTGGCCCAAACTTCTTCTTCCACCAATACCAGCTAAACGAAAATTCTCTTAACCCGGGAATCTTTTTTCCCCTTCCATCTTGCACTCCCTCGCAGCAGCCTGACCAAAGCTTAAACTTTACCCAGGTCCACCACTTTCCTTATCCCCAGCAGCAGCAACAGCAAGTTGTTGTAGATCTGCTCTTTAAAGCAGCTGAGCTCGTAGAGAGTGGGAACTTCGTTGGCGCTCAAGTGATATTGGCGCGGCTCAATCACCATCTCCCTTCCCGAATTGGTAAACCCCTCCTTCGCTCTGCTTTCTACTTCAAGGGGGCTCTGCAAGTCCTTGTCAACTCTGTGAGTCCACAGGCAACAGCCTCGTCTCCATTAGATGTGGTTCTTAAGCTGAGTGCCTTCAAGGCCTTCTCCGAGGTTTCTCCAATCCCCCAATTTATATGCTTCACTGCCACTCAAGCTCTCATTGAGGAGCTCGGTGCTGCTGACTGCATTCACATAATCGACTTTGACATTAGCTTCGGCACGCAATGGTCCTCTTTCATGCAGGAGTTGGCTCAGCGGCAATCGCAGAGGATCTTGTTGCTCAAAATCACCGCTTTTGTGTCCCCCTCTGCCTTCCACCCTCTCGAGCTTCATCTCATCAAAGAAAATCTCTGTCGTTTTGCAGCAGACCTCAACATTCCTTTCGAAATCAGGATTTCAGACATTGAAGCCTTTGATCCGGCTGAGATCCTTATCCTCTCTGCTGTTTCCAATGAGGCCATTGCTGTAAACCTCCCGGTAGAAGCCTGGCAAGTACCCACCTTTGCAACTCTTCTGGGTCTTGTGAAGCAGTTGCTGCCCAAGATTGTCATTTCTGTTGATCATGGGTTTGATCGGTTTGACTTGCCCTTCTCCCATCACTTCCTCCATGCATTACAGTCCTGTGTGACTGTCCTTGATTCCATCGATGCGGCTGGTACAAACCTTGATGTGGTCAGCAAGATAGAGAAGTTTGTTCTTCAACCGAAGATTGAGAATTGCATAATTCGGTGTCACCGGGCCACGGAGAAGTGCCTACCTTGGCTAACACTGTTTGAGTCAGCTGGCTTCAAGCCAGTGCAGTTCAGCAACTTCACGGAGATGCAGGCAGAATGCCTGTTAAAGAGGGTGCAGATTAGTGGATTCAGTGTGGAGAAGCGCCGGGCTTCTCTTCATCTGCTTTGGCAAGAAGGGGAATTAGCTTCAGTTTCAGTTTGGAGGTCCTGAGGAGCTCATGCATCTCTTGCAGGCATGTCTTCTAGTGATGTCTCCTTGTTGAATTTTCTATAAATTATTGCTAGCTACTCTTTTAAAGTGTATTAGATTGAAAATTTTATTGTGATAAAGCTTTTGTGGAATCCTAAGTGGAATCAGCTTATTAATGAGTTATGTAATATACTCATTTATCATCTGTTAAATTGTGAAATTTTTTAGGGAATGGGTAGTATTGTTCTGGTTTAAAATGTTTTTTCAAGAACCAATTGTGGAATTGTTGCTTCAAGTGATGTGATTGTACACAGTATAATAGTTTGTGGAGATTTAGAATCTGCTGTTTCAATTTTATTATGGAAATTTTTATCTACTTGAGTTAGAAATGTTGTTTGGTTTCTTAATGGTTATGATTTAAATTATATGCTATCTGCCAAATAATATGTTGTGTCTATGGTAGGAGATTTCTGCAGGTTTGAGAGTGATAATTGTTAAGCTGTAAAGCCTAATTTTTGTCCCATGAAAAAATATGTTTTGCATATTTAATCGCAGATTATGTACCTATGATAGGAGACTTCACTATGTTATCAAATATTGTAAGTTATTTCATTTAGTGATTTTGAAATTTTATTATATTTTTTATTACGTAATTTATTTTATAATAAAGTGGGTGCCATTAACTTTGTTTTTTGTATGTTAATCTTTCTGTTTATGTTCTTTTTTGCCTTAGCGATTGGATTATGTTTCACGGATTGCCCAAAACTAATGATCGAAGGTAATTTTTGCGGTCAATGAATGGGCACATCATCTTTGTTTTTCGTAGAAAATATTTTGGAAAATTAGAAGGTTAAAAATAGATTGAGTAGGTTTATCATCTTTTTGAATTAGAGCTTAGCAACAGATTGATATTTGTGATGACTTGTCTTAAGTCAAAATGAGGCGGATGAGCCCTATTTTGTGATGTATGTTTGTTGAATTGTGATGTTGGACATTGAACTTTTTGTTCCTTTTTGCTTTTACATTGATGTTTTTGAAATAAATAAAACAACAGTTGATGGTTTTCTGAGTCCTTTTTTATGTGCATTGGAGCAACAGCTGGATTAAAAGATTAAGGCTTCGTTTGGGATGACTTTTTATTGCTTCATAGAACAACTTTTCAGTATTGTACTAAAAAGCTACTTTAAGAAGCAGGAAGTATGCCATCCCAAACGAAGCCTAAAACAAATGTTCGGTTATAAGTGTCACACGCTAGGAAAGTCTACAAGTGAAGAAAACCTTCCAACTGATCTTTTTATATAGCAAATTATACTGAAAAAAATGGCTAGTCGTAACTTTGATTCGAGGTAAAAGAGTTTACAATGAGTTTCTCTTACTTATATGTGAAGGAATTGTTAACAACGAAAACTTAAAAGACACAAATTTTATGTATTTCTAAGATTAGTCCTCTTTCATTCATAGTCACTTGAATTCCACCATATTTTTAAGGTTATAATTAAGAGTGTTCTCACTAAAATATTCCATAGAATACATTACTAAATTTCTTTTAGGAAATCAAGTTAACAATAATAATCAGACTACATAAACCTTCAACAAGAATTTTTGTTGTATTTATGCATTTTAGCAATAAGCTTGTAAACAGCTGAGATGATGTACGCAATTATTAAGTAGTGGTTGTTAGAAATTGTAAAAGGCTACTTCTTAATTGTTAAACAATAATAATACTTATATAAATACCAAAGAATAGAATAATAAGATATAATAAAGAAGAATATCATATTAATTACTGTAAATTCATTGTAAATATTAAACATATGTGATAATATTGATATGATAATATTTTATATATAATAATCTTAAAACTCTAGCATTTGTTTGCGGAATGTTTTTGCTGCTTCTTATTTGTTTGATGTTGCTTAGTGAAGTTTATGGGGAAATTTTCCTAAGCCTACCGTGGAGAGTGTAGTTAGCAGATGGGGGGAAGAAAATGTTGCAATTTTAGTATCAATCTAAACAAAAAGGCTTTAAATGCTTGTTCATGCAGCACTTCATGATTTTTTAAGATGAGTCCATCTGTTTTTTAGTTACAGTTACTCATCTCTTTCATTGTTTCTTTGCTGTAATGTATCTGTTGTAAAGGGAACTCTCTATACTTTGAATTGTCTGAAATTTTGTTAATTGAAGCCTAAGGTTTAGTTTGGGACGGCTTTCTTACTACTTCTTAAAGCAACTTTTTGGTACAAAATTTTTTTTACCGGAAAGCTGTTTTAAGAAGCAGTAAGAAAGTCATCCTAAATGAAGCCTAATTCTACTGCTGAGCTTAGTGTGTTCATTTTCCACGTTTTTAATCTTCTTGCTTTCCACTGGTATTTACAAGCATTGCTTTCAACAGTTCTTAAGCTAGCTGTTCGTATACATATATCAGATTGAGTTGTACCATAAGCTGATCTGTGAATCTTCTACAGATGTTATAGTTGCCATTGAATTATCTTTGTGCGCTATTATTCTTTCGTAGCCTTTCTGTGTGATCTATAAAATCTATTAGCTTGTGATACTGCTCTTGTTATATTACTCTTTTGACTGTGTGATTCTTGTCTGAAGTGCCTATTTTTATCCACTAAGGTTGAAGCAGGTTCTTTATATGTGGCCCTGAAAGATATACAAGGCAGGAATAAAATAATTCTCAAAGTTTCAATTCTTAAAGTAAAAATTTGTATTTTACATGGAATAACAACACAAAAAGAGACTCCTAATAAAGAGATCGACCATTTCTTTATATAAATATTGTTTAGTGTCTTCTGACTTGTTTCCTAACCAAGCTGGAAAGATGTCGGTATGCAATGCAGTTTCTTCTTAAACAACTTGCTGCCTCCCTGCCACTGTTTTTAGCTGTCACTATTTAAAATGATTTGGGGAGGATAAATTTAATATTTTGGACGTTACTTGGCAGGAACAAACTAAAAAAAATGAGAATTCATATGACTATAATAGTTGAAAAAATGTTAATGATGATAATGAAGAACACAATTTGTATTACTTTTACACAATGAGAACTTTTATTAACTTTGACTATTTCCTATTTTGATTTATATTCTATTTTTAAGTAGGTGAAATCCAATTCAAACATCAAGAGTGTTAAAAAAAAAGTTCAATACATACAAACACATAAGAATTTATATAGTTCATTCAATAGATGGTTATATTTTGTTGTTGATATTGCATATGATTTGATTATGGAGAGTTACAACACAGTTTCTGTGATACAAGCATATGATAATCCATTTCATTACGCAGCTCATTCTGATTTGTCAAAATGACTTCAATGAAACAATCCTAAAATATTGAGTATGTACTCGGCACTCGGCCAACCTTGTTGTAACTTTATGTTAGGCGGTTCCTCCTAAACCGGCCCAATCTTTCCCAAATCCTGAATTGGCCCTAGATGGGCCGATTTTGGTCTATAGGGGGAGGGGGCTAGTACCGCCTCTCTTCCTTTGCCGCCCACAATAGTGGGTCCCACTATCCAAATTGAATCCAAAATAAAAAGGAGGGGACGGCAGAGGTTCTGGAGGGAGATTTGATTTAGAAGGTTTATGTAACATGATGTGTTTTAGGATTGGGGTTATGCTTTGATTTGTTTTCTTTTACTCTCTTGAAGTTTTTTTGGCGTTTTGGGCTCTAGACTCATCATCTAGAGATTGGGAGAGAACGATGCTCCTCTCGAATTGAGGATCAATTGTATCTTGCTTTGTGTTGCTTTTGCTTTGAATCAACTATTAAAATCTATCGTTTTGGATGGATTTCACCCAGATTACCGCATTGTTTCCACTGTTTTTATCAATTATTGCTACGGTTGCTTGCGAAATCAAGTATTTCCTCTTTGGATTATATGTGAATTCAAATATTTCCTATCACTTTATCACAAAGGTTGACCCGCTATCATATTATATTTTCTTTATAATTCAAAATTAGGCTCTAAAACTTAATATTTACTTTTAACAATCAGTTGGTTGATAAAGATCCTATGAAGGTAACACAAAAATTTCTCAACTACATGATCTATGCATCAAATTTCAATAGTATTGAAGTAGGTAAGGTAATCTCATAGTATAATATCACTATAATCCTAAATTTTCTCTTCTCATGTGATTGCTAGGTTTGTTCTCCTTTGGTCTATTATTATCCTAAGCTCTTGTACATTGAACTTAGTATAACTACAATAATTCTTAAACCACCATCAATGGGTCAATACAACTGCACAGATGATCAGACGGCTTTGGGAGCTCAGACCTCCCACCTACTGTTATGGGTCCCAAGCTTCATGGTCTGCTGTGTGATCTAATAATTGAAATGTGTTAGGAAAACCAATATTAACAATGCTAATGGTCTTTAATATAATCCTTCTATCTTTTTCTACCACATGGTTTGAGTCACTTGCACATGCTATGATTATTATTTCATTCTTTTCTTATCATTTTCTATCTTCTGATTGGCCCTCCATTTCATAAGATTATGTGTCCCTTTCCTCCACTTGTTCTGACTTCATTTTTTTTTTCTTTTTTCTGCTTCAGAGTAGATATAGTCATAAAAAAAAATTGAGCCCCATCTTGCAGTTTTTTACAAAGGAGACCATTTATCTCCTGTGTGAATAAAATGCATTAGGGATTGTTTTTTTTCATGTTTTTTGGGAGCTTGCCCTTCTTCCCTGTTTTTTTTTGGGTTTTAATGCTGCATTTATCTTTTGTCTTCTGTTTTCGTATCTATTGTTGAGGAATTGTCTCGATTGTCAAGGTTGAACATCAAGGATGGCAGTAGTGGAGTGGTTGAAGTTTGGTTTGAGACAATTTTCTTATTGTTGTCTAAATCATAAAAAATTATAGTTCAATAAATTTTTGTATTAAAAAGTTGTTTTAGAAAGCTGTAAAAAAGATGTTCCAAACAAAGTTTAAGGTATATGAGCATTTTAGTTTCGTCATACATCTTGTAAAAGATAAACTAAGGAGCCTTCCTCCGACCATTGTCACTCGCCAACTACGATCCTTCCAACCACCATCGGCCATCGACCACTATCTCTCTGACCACCGTTGCTCATCGACTGCGGTCTTACTAATCAAATAAACATACAAACACTTTCTTAAGAGCAGCTGTTATGCCATTCTCCGACTATGTATTGTGCTATATACATTGTATATTTGCTACATTGAGTTAGCGCCCTCCTCTAGGGAAGGACATCATTTGTAATCAACCACCAACCCTAGTGGAATCATTTTAAAAAAATTGGGCAATGCCTCATGGTTTTTATCCCTTTTTAGGATTTTCCAAGTAAAAGTTATGGCGTCCCTAATGATTGATTCACCTATATATTTTATCTGTTTGTGTGTTGAATTTTTGTACAAAATTAGGAAGCTAAATTATATATATTTATCTATCGTCGTGAATATTCCATGACAACAAGAAATAATCTATTTGGCTTCAAAATTAGTTTGACTATTAACGTATGATGCCAACTTTGATACCATGTAGTTCATGTGTTGGATCTTGATTGTGGAAGAGAAGCCTCTTCTTGAGCTTCTTGGAAGAGAGGAGAGGGAGAGCGGAGGAGGAGAGAACTCAACTTGAATCTAATTTTTATTACTTGGCATGGATCTCTTATTACAAGCTATAGTGTCTATTAATAGACACTAAATGATAGCATAAGTGGCTACTTAAGAATCTAAACAAAGTAATACAAATGGCTACTCAAAAACTAACTAAAAGAAAGTACAATTAAGTAAATCTTAGACCAATTCACAGCATCATACGTCTTAATTAGTTGTCATATTTGAATAATAGATGTGTTAAGAGTTATTGAAATTATTCATTATTATTATATAAATATTACAACAAGTGTAATATTTATAATCATTATTATTATAATATAAAAAATTATAATTTTTTCTTTATTACTCTATGTAAATAATATTGTTTCAAGATATTATTCGGTTTAATAAAAAGATGAAGGGGAGCTAGCTCTTTGGGATCTCCTTAGTATGATAGCCAGCTTTGCTTTAGGATTTTCTTTGTAATTTGTGCTCTTCTAATAAGATATGATCAATCCAAAGCCATGAAGAGATCAACTATGAGTTATATAGGTACTCTTTAACAGCCTTAAACACATTGTAATGAGTCTGATTAAGAGAAGTTCAGATAGCAATGCTGAATAGTGCAGAAGAACTTCCAAGAGGGCTGCTGATAGTTTTAGATTAAGGGATAATATGAGCTATTGTTTAAGTAATCTTGACATTAATCATGATAAATATTAATGAGATTAAGGGTTCGATTGTGACAGCTTTTTTAATGATTTCTAAAACAGTTTTTTATTTGGGATAGCTTTCTCATTGCTTTCTAAAACAATGTTCTAGTTAAAATTTTTCTTGAATTATAATTTTTTGAACTAAAAAATTAAACTCTAAACAATAAATAATAGCTTTATTACTGTTTTTTAAAATAGTTTTCTTGAAATATTTTATATAAAAAATTATTTTAAAAACAATAAGAAAATTGTTCCGAATAAAACCTAATAAAAATTAATAAAACAATATTGCTCTTTGTATCATGATGAGAGTAATCCAAATCATATATCTGATTTGTCCCACGTGTCAAGTTTCACATGTAGACATTATCATTTCTCTGATTGTACTAAAACTTTGAAGACAATCAAAACAAAATGAAGACAATGACATGACAGCCTCTCATGCAAGAGGAAATTAACTAATTAATTTTGCTTTGACTATGTGACTTGACATATATTAAAAAATTTATAATCAATAATTTTATAATATTTCCTATCTCACTCTATTACTTGTCATTGGTGCTTCCCTAATGAGAGATAACAAATTATAGTTTTGTTTGATTAATAATGATGAAGAGAGCCTTCTTTATCTTACATAACTACTAGGGGTGTCAATTTCGGGTCACGGGTCGGGTTTGGGTCAAACTCGGAACTGACCCGGGTTCTCCGCGCGGGCAGCTTCGGTCAGCCCCGGTTAGGGCGGGCAGCGGGTCATTTCAGAGTTTCCGGGTCAACCCGAACCCGACCCGGTTTTTCAAACGGGTTGAAAACTCGAACCCGAACTCGACCCGGTTCGAGTTCGAACTCGACCCGGTTCGAGTTCGGGTTGACCCGAACCCAAAATTTTTGGGTCGGGTCCGGGTCAGATTTTCGTGTCGTGTCAAATATTGACAGTCCTAATAACTACAATTTGGTATTCTATTAGATGCCTCAATATATATTCTAACCAATAAATTATATTCAATTATCAATTAATTATGATGTCTTATAATAATTTTCATAGCAGAAGTCATACACAACTAACGAAAAAATTCAACAGATCTCCTCAAGAGCTTATCCGAGAATTGGCTTCTAATAAAAAATGAAAACTATGAAAGCAATAAACTTTATTGGAAAAACATAAAAATAGGATGCCATAAAAATAAATGTAAGTATATAAAATTTCATATAATAAATTCATTCAGGAATATATCATCAACAAAACAAAGAGTTATGCATTAATATCTTCAAAACAAAGGCTTGATTAAAATCAACCAAAGCCTATTTGCTCATTGTTCTATAAAATTAATTTCAACATTAGAAGGGGACTAAAACAATAAATCCATCAAGGGTATAATTTGATTAGAATAATATATTTAGAAATAGAGGGATTATTTATTGTTTGAAATTGGAAATTTTTATTTGAATAGTGATAAATTTTCCAAATTCTACTATTTAGTTATACTAAGGTTTCATTTGGGACGGCTTTTTTACTGCTTTCTAAAACGGAGTTTTAGTACAAATTTTTTTATTTTTATACTAAAACTCCGTTTTAGAAAGCAATAAAAAAACCGTCCCAAAAAAAAACCTAAGTTAAAAAAAAAACAATATAAGTTTTAAACATTGCATATTGATACTTAAAAAGAGAAATTTGACTTTATATGTCTCATAATGATTGAAATTGAGGAAATATTAAAACAGTCTAAACTCTTAATTATTAAGATATTATCTATTTTGGCTTAAAGAGACTTATATTTTTTGTCCTATTGATGTAGATTCTTAAGAGGTCACTCATTTCAAGATTTCTCCAAGATGAGCATGTTTAACTGTAGCGTTTCTTAATGAAAATTTCTACAATTATATCAAAAGGTGTCTCGATGTTTAAGAGTTTAGATTCTTTTTACTCATGGGATTTCTCAATCTCCCACACTTAAGTAACTAAAGTGTGGTGCCTACAAGTTTAAATGATGACTCTGGCCACGTAACACTTTGTCCCATTCAAATACAGTGTTCAAGAGGTTGCTGCTATGGCGTATCACTTTAACTTGTATGACACTTATGTCCCATCTTCAGGTTGGTGTATTGCTCTGATACCATTTGTAATAGCCCAAACTCATAAGTATCAATATATTGTCTGTTTTGATCTAAGGGTCTCACGATTTTGTCTTGTTTGTGCAACTTCCCAGAAGGTCACTCATTCTAAGATTTTTTCAGAACGAGTACACTTAATTGTGAAATTTCTTAATAAAATTCTAACAATTACAACAAAAGACGCATCGATGTTTAAGAGTTTAACTTCTTTTTACCTAAAGGATTTCACAAATATGATCACTCTCTATCATGTTAAGAAAATATCTTTGAAAGCTTATAAAGTTCTAAGTTACCCCTTTTTCTTGTGGTCCAATCACAAAATCCCTTCTTATTGTAGAACTTTTATTTTATCCGGTGAACGTATGCAGAGGAAGGTTCGGTTTTAGGCAAAAAAGCGTTTGTACCGAGTTTTTTGAAAAAACTCGGTACACCTCGGTACAGACACTTTTTTTGCCTAAAATCGAACATTCCTCTGCGTACGTTCACTGGATAGAATAAAAGTTCCTTATTGTATGCCACAGGGAACCTTCTCCTTGCATAACAAGATCACGTGAAATCTCTATGTTTAATTTCATGTTAAAATTCGAACCAATCTGAATGAATTTTTAATATTTAGTTTTTTTTGGAACTTTTTAATAGAAATAAATATTATAATTAATAAGCCATATTTATATTACTTTTAATTTAAATTAAATATTGAATAAACTTTAGAGAATTTCATGCCTCAACTTCATTTTTCCTATTTTCTTGCCCACAAAGTACTCTATTATAATCAACTTATATCTAAATAAATATTTTTTAATTTTAGCTTAAAAAAATATAATAAGAATATTCTGATTAAATTTTTATTCTAAATAAATTTTAGACAATAAATTTAAAATATAATTAGAAAATAATTTAATTATAAAATAACTTATTAATTTTAATTTTGATTATATTTTTAATTATTTATGAGTTAATCATTAATTATTCATTTTAATTGTCATTACTAATTAATCATTATAAATAATACAATTAGAATTTAAGCTAATAATAAAAAATTATTGTTTTGGAAGATTATCAATTAATTTAAGTAATTACTAATTTATAATTAACAGTATATTCTTAATTAATTTTAATTAACATAATTAAACTAAATTAGTTTTTTCTTATGTAGCAATACGCTAAAACCTGTTGATTGCCTTCCTATAGACGCAGGTTTGCTAGGGTTGCGTTTTCTTCTTCGCCTCCTTCGACGACGTTCCTTCCTGTCGGATCTGAAGTCACACCTCCTCGCCGTTCTTCTGTTGGATCGGAAGGAACAAAGACTACGGGAGCTTGCTCGTTGCGGAGGCAGCGATCTTTCTTCCTTTCGCGCGCTTCTTCGGCCAAATCCCGTAAATCAGCCGAACTACGGATTTAGTAAATCCGGGATTTACAGGAAAAAGAGGGAAACGGAGGATTTAACTTGCTGTGAAATTTAACAGTTCCCTTAGCTTAAATCCTGCTCAAATCCGGCATCAATCCTGTATCCAAACAGCTCCTTCAGGTTTGCTTCATCCCTCCTACTACCCTTTTACCCCAATTTCTCTGAAACCTAGGGATTCATTTCCCGACCCAGAAGAAAGCGATTGAGAGATGGGAGGGCACGGAGGTCTCAACATCCTTCCGCAGAAGAAGTGGAACGTCTACAACTATGAGAATCGCGAGAAGGTTCGGCTGGACGAAGAGGCCGCCGCCCGCGAAGAGCAGCTCAAGCGGGAGCAGTCTCTCCGCCGAGATTTGGAATTCCGCATCGAGAGACTCCGACAAGCTCGAGGATTGCCTAATTCTACGTCCGTACTTTCTTCCTCGAAATCTTCCACCGTTGAAGCCGATTCCCGCCACATTAATCTTTTCGACGGCCTGAAGGGCCTATCCTCCCTTGTTGACGTTGAGGAGGGTGGTCAAAGCGGGATGAAACAGGCAAGGGAAGTGACGGAGGATGCGGGTTCGAAGAGCGGTAAGAAGAGAAAGAGGGAGGATGCCCCTGTTAAGGTGCCGCCGGAGGATGAGAAGTACAAGCTGGGGTATGGCCTGGTTGGGAAGGGTGTGGAGGCTCCTTGGTACGCTTCCAAGCCCTCGTTTTTATCATCTGATGATTTGGAAGAGGGTGCCGATGGCAGGAGGTCTTTTGAGGCTGGCGTGAATGGAGCGGGGAAGAAGAGTGGAGGGCGAAAGACGATGGAGGAATTGAGGGAAGAGCGGATGAGGAGGGAGAAGAAAGAAAAGGAAAGAGAGAGGTCGCTTCTTGCTTCTTTGGGGAGAAAACGTGATGACCGAGGGTTTTCTAGGTAAGAATGCACTTGGTTTTGTTCTTAATGTTGGTGATCTTATTTTTGGTTTCATTGCAGGAGGAGGGCGTAAGTTGTGAACCGAGAAGAAGGCAGCCTTAGTAGTTGATGTTTTCTTTGCCCGTCTCCTGCTAATGGGCTTATTTTGTTTCAGATGCCATTTCTCGATCAATTGCATGCAAATTTTTAGCTTTTCAATTTAGTTAAAATTTCTGAGAAAGTTCAGAGCTTGCTTTAGGTCCCTCATTATTGCTTGTAAGTAAAATACGAGGGACATGTAGTCAGTTCTATGAAGGATACAAGCCCCTTGATCAATTCTTAATGTTGACCTAGATGTATTTATTTCATCCAAAATGTTGAGACCTAACTAACACTGAGAGCTTGAGGCAACTTTTATGTCTGCTATTTGTAAATGTGCTATTATTTTTGCCTTCTACAACTCATGATCTCATCACTATTCTTGCATGATAGGATTCTATTTAGGTTGGTGTAGTTAATGCATCATCTTAGCTAGTAATTTTCATAGTACTGTGGCACTTAGAGCTCTTCACATGTCATACTTTTCTGTAAATTTACCTGATCCTTCTTTTATGGAATTTTATGTTCTGTATATACGGCTTCAAGTAGTTATTGCCCAATCTTTACTTTGGTGCAAATAAGTGCTAATCTTTGGACACACTGAAGTTTTGTTTTTGTGCTACGTATAACCCAAGTTATCTATTATCTGCACTTGTTGCAGTGAATGTTTCAAGGTTGTGTTGTGCAAACCTTTTGGTCTACTAAAAAGCATCGATATGAATCATATTAATGTAGTTATTTTTTTTCTTTTCTATTGAACTTGTCTTATTTTTGTCGGTATTGGTTGATCTTCACTCTTAATCTATTGGCCTAGATTCTGAAATAAAGTTGCAGTTTTTTGGCCTCCATGTCAATTAGGCATTATTTATGAATGCTTTTCTTGATAAATGACATAATTATTTTGATAGGTGTTATTTTGTTGGCTTTCAGGTTAATTTACCTCATGGTAATGCTTTCTAGCTGTTTATTTTTTCAGAACTTTAGCATATCACTATTTTTATTTTTCCTCCTTAAAGGTTGTTGGAAAGCATTATATTGCCCAAGCAAAACATCTTGTGTTGCTCCTGTGGAATGACAATGATTTGTATGTATTATTATGACCTAACACAACATTATCCAATGAATTTCGTGGTGCTGTTATTGGTCTTTGCTATTTTAATAATGGCATTTTTACATAACTTTTCATGGGTCAAATTACTCGTCCATTGTTTAGCCATAAATTAAAACATCCTATGTTGAATGATAAAGGTTTAGGGTTGTTTTTAGGATTGCCTATTTTAAAATTTATGCCAAAATTTATGAAATGAATCAAATTTTGTGTTTTTTTTGTTTTTAAAAGAAGCGCTAGGATGTTCTTAGTAGGACCGTTGTGCTTCAAAATAGCCAAATTGTTGGAAGAAACAAGCGCAGGCTTGATAAGACTTCACCTACAGGTGCATGCACCCAATTTTAGGAAGAAGTAATGAGGTTGGATTGCCTTATCTTGATCCAATTGTTTGAGAAGTGGATAATGGTTGAGTAGTTTTGAAGTTAACATTAGATGGATTTCATTAAAATTGAGGATTTAAATAGGAAGACCATATATTAGTGGAAACAATGATTTGAGTAAGAATAAATATTACTTATTTGCAGGAAATTGAAATAAACTAGGGGTTGTTTGGTTGCCTGAAAAAGAAATGCAGTGTAAAGTAAATGCAATGTAAAGTAAATATAATGCATTCTGAATGCTTTGCACCTGTTTGATTGTCTGCAAAATAAACGTAGGAGAATTGTTTCCTTTGTTTGGTTTGGTAGATCCAGAGTAAAGTAAAAACGGTTTTTAATTAATAATTTATTCTAGCAGTACAACTAATGTATTTATAAAAACAATATATTTATAATAATTAATATTATTTGATGTTATAAAATATAAATCAGTGTATTCATTTATTGTACGATCTTATTATAATTTTTTAAGATTATAAGATATAAAATTATTATGTGTATTAATTGGTTCTCCTGTACTTATTCTAAGTTGAATGTTAAACCAAAACTATAGAAATTGTTAATCTTTTGGCATACTCCATTATTTTTTAGAGCATGTTTCTGTGATGTAGATGCAAACGAGCAATGTAATAAAAAATAGGTTCCAACAGCAGACTGGTCATTTTTTGTGTGCATGCACAAGAAGATTATTACGGAAAACTGAATAATCCTTGGTATGAGGATCTGCAAGATGCAGCAGTATGGTAGCCTGTTTACTACAAACTCAAGCAGCATTTTCATCATCAACAAAAAATGTACACCTTAATTAATTTCAAAGAATAAGCAACAAAAATCTCTGATTGCAATTTGCACTTATCTTAAATTATATATCCAATAAAAAGGATGGAAGATATGGGCACGTAAAAAAATAAGCACATTTAAAATAGTATCGCCGGAATGAAATCATCAGCGTTCACCACCTTGCCAGCAACCTTAAGGCTCCGTCGAGGAAGCCCCTGTTTGAGCGTAGGAATTGGTTCTTTCACTTTCGGAGGCCTAGGACCTTCATCTTCCCAACCGGCTCGTTCAATTCAGCATCACCATCCCCAAAACCCACGGCATCATCATAAAACCAATCATGAACGTGATCGACCTGCTCAACATCAACGACAGCGAGATACCCAGCATCAGCGCAGTCAGCCCCCCAGGCGAAAGCGGCGGCAACCTCTCCCGTGCCGCCAGCGCAGTGTGGCCTGTGTAGGGGGATTTCGGTCCTGGGAAAAAGCAGGGCAACGAAAAGGAATGCACATAGCTCGTCCTGTAACCTTGATGACCTAGATTGCTGCTTTTCTTGTTTCATCCTCGGAAACGTTAATATCAAACAACATAAGGTTCAGTAGCAGGTAGATTTTGAACTTGAGAACAACATAGGAAGAAAGAGCCGCTACGAATTTGAGAAGCTCTCGACTCTATTCTGAAATTAAAATTAGGATCATCCGCCTCTCCTCCCTCCTATCCTCTCGTCATTCTCCGAGTGCCAGCAAGATGAAGATCCTCAAATTTGATATTGGAGCTTAGATGAAGAAGTCGAAATCAAAAAGAGTTGGGGAGAGAGTAAGGGAATGAGTAACGGCAAAGCTATCATAGTGATTCTGACGTGCGATGCTTCCACTTTTTCCATTAAGAGAGCAACGAAGAACTCTTCGGAGAACAAAGTCGGCGAACTCATCGCGCAACAGCCGCAAAGAATTTCTAACCCGCTCAAATTGAGCGGGTTTCAAAGTCACGCGAACTGCCTCCCCTAATACCCCGCTATTGCTTCGGAGGTATTCCTTTCATTCCGCTCCAAGTTAACCAAACAACGGAATTTAGTAAATACTTGTAATTGTTTTACTTTACCCTCCTAATTCAGGCAACCAAACAGCCCCTAAAAGAAATATGAAGACATTGGAGAATGCTATTAGATATTATAAGCTAGGTCTTATAAACTATTTGAAGTTGGGAATTCAAAATAAGGAATGAGGTGGGATGGTAGTTGATTGAGAGTTAAAAGATAAATTGGAGATAGATAGGATTAGTGATAGGGCAATTTTTTTGACCTAATCATCAGTAAGGTTTTCTAAAGACTTTTTAATGCTTATGCTCTATATGTTGGATTGAAGATAATTCGAAAATCAATTTTGGAAAGAAATTGATGAGCCATTATAATGATATTTGATGAAAATATGATTATGATTAGGTTTTAATGATATGCCATGAAAGAATTCATTGTGGGTATCAAATATGTATTTAGTGGGAAAAACTATATTGTTATCTAATATCAGTAAACATATACATTATAAAACTTTTTGTCAAAGTGAATCTGTTCATTGAGATTGGGGAGTTATGGGTGACATTAAAGCTATTTGAATAATAGATTTTTCATTGGAATCTTAAAGACTAAGATGATGTGAAATAATTAAAGATGAAACATTCTTAGTGCTAGTATTTTAGAATCTTGGTGGTTATGGGTTCAACTCATAATATGGTAATGTTAGGTTTAGGGTAGAAAATATTGAAAAATGAAAAAATTACAATTCACATTAATGATCTTGATGTGTGGACATATACAATGGAGGGTAGGAAATAAATCAACAAGTTGGGTTGATGGAATTCATATGAAAATATTTAAAATGAAAAAAAATTACAATTAAGATTTAGGCCTTGTTTGGGACGACTTTTTTACTGCTTCTTAAAACAATCTTTTAATATGAACATTAAACTTTTTGTACTAAAAAATTGTTTCAAGAAGCAGCAAGAAAGCCCCCCAATCGAAGCCTTAGTGATTAAAATGAACAAGTATCTTGAGAGACACAACAAGAGAATTTCATTGGAGACTCGGAGAATTTTCTTTGGGTTTGCAATCAAATTTATTGTATTATATGGATATAAATGGTGCGTGATTTTAGGCAATTTATTCATCTCCATCTATTTGTTCGTCTTTATTATAATGATTTTTAGTCAATTGCTCTTCCCCCGCCCTAAAAGTTTTAAAATATTAGGGTCTTTAGGTAATTGTTCCTAGTAAATAATAAAGAGTATTTATTAATTTGAATTCCAAAAATATTCTTACAATTAAAATTTGCAGATATATCTATCAATTATATTAATTTAAAATACTCTGGTTTTTAGGCAATTCCCCTAAGTCAAACTCCGGCTTCGTTTGATTCGGTTTATGCTTACATAAAAAGGAGTTTTAGAAAAGGAGGTTGAGAAAAAGCCGTTCAATAAAATAGAGTTTCAGTAATGAGATATATTTGAGTAATATTTTTAAAAGTGCTTATTAATACTTGAAAGTAAATTTAAATTGTTTGTTTAGGAGTTCTGCTTTTGAGATTTTATTATAAAAGACATAATTTCCCATAAAATTTATGTACACATAATTAATATATATATATATATATTAAACTTCTTATAAATCCCCAACTTAGGAAACAAACCAGTTCCCATTAAAACTCTTCTGCTACAACCCATAATTGCCCATAAAATTTATGGCACAACAAAGGCTATAAGATTTGTAATTAGGCTAATAATGATCGACTGTTCTCTGAGACAAATAATTCTTGATAAAAATAATGGAGAAAATAAGACCATCTTGTTGGGTTAACTGACACGAAAATAACCATTTTCTTAATGAATGAAGGATCAAACAGCTGGCTTTGACAATAAAGTAAAATAAAATAGAAGAGGGATTAACATACCAAATATAAAAGTCTTATCTATTTATTGTATATTTAATATTTTATATTTTATATTTATTTATACATTTTTAAAAAAAATAAAATTACTCATATTTTATGCATGAAAATATTAAATATATTTTTTATTTTCAAATAAAATAACATTAATTATATCATTGATGAAATTTAGCATGACTATTATATAACTAAAAATAAAGATTTAATGGTTATATAATAAAATTTTATAATAGCAAAATTTTTTCTTTTACTTGACCGACAGATATAAATTAGATCATGTCAACTTTATGTCAAGGGAACACTTAACCAAAAGAAATTCACTCAAATGCTTCTTGTGTTGGTACAAAGTCAAATTTATGTTCTTCTATTATTGTCACTTTGACCTATTAACAAAAATTAACATCTCTAAATGTTATAATAATTTCTAACATAGGCCAATGGTAAAAAAAAAAAATAATAATAATAATAATAATAATGATATTTCTAAGACATCAATAAACTTCCTATCGAGGACGTCACGTCACCCGGTACACAACTACAATACATAACAAAAGAGTGATGTGGTGCATTCTGTTTGACCTCCGGATGGCGTCTGTATCCGCAGAGAATAATTTATTTGTATGCTAAGATTCAATGCCCTCACAAGTTATATGAATACAAAATTTCTTTAATTTACAATTGAATATAATCAACCATATATATATATTTAAAAGGTCCGTTCACATGAAAGCACCTAAATATTTGTGCTGAAAACAATGGCCAATTGCTCCAAGTTAAGCATCATCTATATAGAGGCTCCAAAGTTCTATCAACTTTTATCTTATGTTGATTTTGAATCAAAATAAATAAGCTAATTAATAAAGTCAATTTAGACCAAATCAAACTTTGAATTTACTCTGATATTGCTTTGGATGAGATATTATCTCTATAAACTCAACAAAATTCGGTAGACATCAATATCATAACAGATAGAATTGCAGGCTTCATTTGAGATAAATTTCTAATTTATTATGTGATAAATAAAGTTTTTAACAAAAAAAATTGCTTAAAAAAAGCTTTTCATTGTTTTTTAAAAATTTTATTATAGAAAGTATGGTTTTAAATTATAGAATGAATATTTGGACAGTTTGATTAATTTAAATTTAAGACAATAAAAACATAGAAAACTTATTAAAAAAAATTATTTTGTACCTTCAAAAGGTTGGTTTTAACATGAGGGAAATGGATATTATGTAGAAGTGGAGATATGAATGAAAGCAAAAGAAGGAAAATGGTATCAAGTGAATAGAAGAACTTAGAAGTATATAACAAAAGCTCTAACATCTTCCCTCCAATGGCTCTTCAACAAGAGGAACATCTGATTTAAAAAATAAAAATAAAATACAATAAACACCTCATGTAGGGCCATTTTGACTTGCCACGCAGGCTGGTTACGCCTACATGGCGAGGGTAATTCACCCATTAGTAGGAAAGCTCCCTTTGTCATGCATGCGTAGCCAGTCCTGTGTAGCACGACAAAACACCCTTACACAAAACATCTTCTTCTTTTTTAAATTAATTCTTGATCATAAAAAAAAAAATTTACTTGCACGATTCTTTTTGTACACATTAAACTTAATCTCCATAATTTTTCATCTATATAGATATTTCATATCATAACATAATCCATGCTTTACATTAGCCAAAAGAATCCAAAATTTATAGCTAGCAATGATAAGCAAAACAAATAGATATTGTACATAGTAAGATCAATGGAAAGCTGTGACTAACCTTTTCACAAGAACCACAAATTGTGTTTGGATGGATCTTAAAAGAAAGCATATTATTTGCTCACTTTTCCATCTTCTCATTTCCTTACTGAGTAGCTGAAGATTCGAAGTGCTTATATAACATTATCACTGTCATCATCCCTGACAAAGTACACCATCTGCTCAGCCTGTGGCTTCTCTAGATTGACTTCCATAGTTCAAACCAGCAAACCAAGCAACTCTCATGAGCTGGATCCCCAGAATAAAAATCCACCATGATACCAGAAGCCTGATGCTAGTTATAGCCCATCCAGTTGCACTTACTTCACTACCCAGTCTTAGACCTCTCATCAGCTGCAAGATCCTGTAAGCCTCATACACTATTGGGGTCACCAACCAAACTGGAGATTTCCAGTGCCATGTTAGCATTTCTGTCACCATCTGTACAGCTAAAAGCAGAAGATAAGGTCCAAGCAGCACAGAAAATGACATAAAGGAAAGCTCCGGCGCAAGCAAACCTCTGTGAGAGGCAACCATCATCAACATTGGTGCAAGAAAACCCAGCACACTAGCCCCCATATTCCACATTCTGTATGGAAGAGGAGGAACTTGGATTTTTCTCCTGGGGTGAGCAGCACAGGCATCAGCCATAAGAAGGAATAAGGTTGCGCCGATGTTGAAGATGCAATCTAGGCCTAGTAAAGAGAGAAGTCCAGCTATGTTGGGACCAACGAAGACAGAAGACAAAGGCAACCACAGGGTTGGCAACATTCCTGTTGCTAGTAGAAAGGAAGGACCGATCAGCCACATTGGCCATTTGAGAGGCTGCTGCTGTGAATACTGTTGAGCATTCATGTCTATTATGTCTTCTTTACTCTGGAGTAATGGAAGTTCAGTTGATTCTTCTGCATCTATGGGTTCAACCATATTACCACCTTTGATAATGTTCGTCTCATCATCAACAGAAGAAAATGGAGTGGGAGGTTCCCAAGGGAACAATTTTGTGCACAGCAATGGCAATGGCAATGGCCAGGCCTTGTGATGAGTATAAGATAAGGTGGAAAGATTACTTTGTTTGGGAATTTTCAAAAAACTAATATTTTGTAGTTGACTATTGATGAGTGCATGCTTTGGTATAGTCGAAGCCAAAAAAATCAGCGAGGCCATAGCCCCGCAAGCTTATGAAGGTAGTGGAGCTTCAAAGTTCTTGTAATCTGCAAGCAAAGAGAAGCAAAGTAACAACATCTTGTCTTAGGTTGCAATACAATATTCCGCAAGCTGTAAAGTAGATTGATATGAGCCCAACAGATTATCGATAGCTAGAAAACTTTGGCTGACAGTAAAATATCAAAATCAAACATAGAAGAATATCACTAAAAAGATCTCATTTTGGGAACAATAACTAGATTCTCAAACTCTATTAACACGTGATGTGGGTCTATCCGCTGGTTAGGTTCAAACCAGGTTGAACTAGATCCAATGCCAACTAGAAGACTTGTTTCCAATCCAACACCGGAACGGGTCTGCTCTTCCGGTGATATTTTGAGTGCTACAGCAATCCTCCAAATCTTTGTTCTACTGTGGAAAAGAAGCAAAAATATAAACAATGAAGCACTTGCAACACTCATTCTGCATCAACCTTTCAGCAAAGGAAGTGATTCCAGGGGTCATGGTCGAAGGAGGCAAATGTTGCTATCCATGTAGATGTTGGTGGTGGGGCATTGATTGCAGCGGTAAGGACGTCAGAGATAAGTGGAGATGGGAAAGCACTAGCAGCGAGAGAAACAGAGAGAGGAGGAAGGAGGTTGTGGGAGTGAAAAATGTGCGGGTAGAGAATCTAAGGCTTTCCATTTGGAATGGGTGTGGTTAGACTGTTGGATCATGGTCCATAGTTCAAGATGAGATGCATCTAAATTACATAAGCAAGTTGATCCTAGCGCATTTCCGGCCTGCCAAATTATAAATGGATCATATTGGAATTTGGTTACAGTAAAATGTGAAAATGTGATGATGATGAGTATGAAGGTGTTATTGAACACAGTCAGTTTTTGACATGGACTCTGTCTAAAACATCCTGACACGGCCAGGACATACGATGATGGTGAGTGATATTCTTTCTCAATGATCCAACTTTACAAATTATGTTCTTTTTCTCTACAATGGTGAAGGTGTAATTGAAGAGGATATTGGTGTTAATAGTGATAAGGATCATGATATCAAGTATGTAAGGTCCAATTAATGATATATCAATGCGTTCATATTTTGTGTGGTCATTTTGAAAAGGATATACTATTTTTTGGATTCTTTTATTTTTGGTATTTTGTATGAATAGTACAATATTAATATTGATAAAAGCTTATCTAACAGTTAATGCTAATCTTGGTGTATCATTGACAAGTAAATACACTAGTGTTAGCTTTTCTTTTCTTTTTTTCCTGTTGTTAAGCTTTATATGATATATATGATATTATATTTTATCTTATGATGTTCTTTGATAGAAAATATTAACATAAGATGTTTTCTGATAGGAAATACTTGAGTTCGCAAGTAACCCTAAGGTAATACTTGAGTTCGCAAGCAAACCTAATCCAAATCGGTGAACAACAGCGACTAGACTGCTCTCCACAGCAGGAAAACAATAGCAAACTGCTGTTTACAGCAGAAAACAGCAGAAATCTAGAGGAAAACTGAAGGAAAACTCAAAGCAAGACTTGTATTTCACTAGATGATAAAGTAAAATAGCAAAGATACAATTGTTCTTCAATCTGAGAGGAAGAACAACTCTCCAAATTTCCAGAAACGCCAAGAGCCCAAAGCAAAAGAACCCTAGATCTCAAATTACAATTCAAATTCAAGATAATCCTCATTCCCTCCTATTCCCCCTAACTAACATGAAAGGAGAATTATAACTTACCGAATCAACCCTTACATTCAAATCTTTCCACCCATAAATTGTATTAAGCCCATCATGGGGCCCACAAGAGTTCCGCCCCTCTCCCTGTTTCCTCTTCCGCCGAACAAAAACTTGGACCAGTCTTGGCTAGACCGGTCCAGCCGGCCCCTCCTGGGCCGGCGTGGGAGCAGGTATAACATTTTCATTATACGTTTTATATTACAAATTCATACCAAAAAAAAAAAAAAAAGCCAATGACATATTATGTTCCTCTTTTTAAGATTATGTTGTGCCCATATCTATGTAGTATCTCTATGCTTCAAGTGTATTTGATCTATGCATACATGATAGAATCAACAAATATTCCATACCAAAACAAATTTGTATAAGCATCTATGAAAGCACCATTGCATTACCCTCAATTTAGAAGTATACTCAGTATATTAACTACCAAGAATTCAAGAATCTTATGAGATACTTATAATAATGAAGAAAAAAAAGAATTTTCGTCCAAAAACAAGTTTTTTTATTCACTCATCTTATTGCTTAGATATGCAGTCATTTTAAATACCATAACAAATGTCTATTGTGCATTCTCAACCACCAAAACTAGAACTATTCAACATCAAAACATTGCATTCTAAATGTCACCATAAGATTGATAAGAATAATAATAGATTATTCAAACATGACAACACATCAAAGAAATTGACACAAAGAATGAAGATAATTAGATAAATTGATTTGATCTCGATCACAAATCATATATAAACAATTTCTAGTATGACTCCGACATGAATATCATAGTTTAAACCAAGGTTTTAAAAGGCGAAATCGGGAATCGAGGCGTTTTTTTCTAAGCGAGGCGAGGCGTAAGCCTCGAGGCGGATCGAAGCGTAAGCCTCAAAACGATTAAAATGAATTAATTTAAAATTATAAATAATGACAAAAAAATAACAAAATATTATGTCAACTATGAATTTGAAAAAAAAATTAACAATTATTTGTACTACCAATAATAAAACAACATGAATACAACAATATACCAGTCTGCCAGGGGTCCAAGGGGGCGCTACCCCCTGGAGGGATTCGACCTGTTTTATCCAAGGGGGCGCTGCCCCATGACAACACATCAAAGAAATTGGCACAAAGAATGAAAATAATTAGATAAATTGATTTGATCTCGATCACAAATCATATATAAACAATTTCTAGTATGACTCCGACCTTAATACCATAATTTAAACCAAGGTTTTAAAAGGCGAAATCGGGAATCGAGGCGGATCGACGCGTGAGCCTCAAAATGATTAAAATAAATTAATTTAAAATTCTAAATAATGACAAAAAATAACAAAATATTATGTCAACTACGAATTTGAAGATTTGTTTTAACAATTATTTGTAATACCAATAATAAAACAACATGAATACAACAATATACCGATCTGCCGGGGGTCCAAGGGGCGCTGCCCCCTGGCGGGGTTCGAACAAAATTTTATTATAAGAATAATTTTGAAATTCTGCTTGTTTTTAAAGTTCGTAAGTTATTTGTATGAAAAGATACTGCTCGGTACCGAGCATGCACCGCTCGGTTCCGAGCATGTACCTAGTGGTACCGAGCGGTACTGGCTCGGTACCGAGCATGTACCTAGTGGTGAGACATGCAATGATTTTAAGACGCTGAATTTTAGCCACTAAAAGAGAAGCATAAAAATAATTCTTGTTGTTTTAAACTCTATGAGCAAAGGAAGAAAGCCCATTACTTGCAGTTGTCGAAGCCAAAGTATACGAAAGAGGAAGCATGTAAAGTTTAAACAGTGGTCAAACAGGTAGTGTTACCTTCGGTTCGAGCTCCGACTTCACATGAAGCGTGACAAACTCAAACCAGCGGTTGAACAGAAAGAAAGGTTGTTCCCAAGCACTTCTGCCGGATCGAAGAACTCACTTGTGGTCGAACACGAAGCAGCTCTCAAAAGGGACAAAGCGGAAGCAGCGCGCTCGAAAGATAAGGAATTTGTTCTTCGCTGTGAGCTCCGTTGAATCCTAATGAGGCGTCGCCTCACACTGCCTCTAGGCGTTACGCCTCGACGCATACGCCTCGCTGAAAAAAAATAGCACACCTCGTCAAATACATTGAGGCTTCAGCCTCAAGGCGCCGGGTTAGCTCCTCGAACTGAGTCGCGCCCTGTTCGAACGCCTCGACCGCTTTTTTAATCAATGGTTTAAACCATAAACTATCAATCTACTTAGCTTTCTCTACAACTTATTTAGTTTCCTATATAATATTTATCTCCCTATGAATTATAATATTTATTAATTTCATTAATTTACCTGTAAGAACCTATATTCCAAGTTCCTATCTTAATTTTAATTTCTAAGTTCTATCCTAATGAGAAATACCTGACAGTAAAAAAGAATTAATATGCATCTCTTCCACCAAAGAAACCCATCTACTAAATTCATATATTTTCCAAACAAAAATTTCATTATAGTTAACAAGAACAAATTGCAATCTTTTTTTTTTTTTTTTTGCACTCTCAAACAAGATAACGTAACAAAATTTATTTGTACATAAGCTAATTGTGCATATGTTAATTCCTCTGTCAAAGTAACCAAATCATTGATGAACAAAAAAAATGGTCAAGTAGATGCCATTTGGATGATAAATAAATTTGACCGACAAATATTTCTTCATTCCAGCTTGATTCTTCATTCTCTTTTCTATAGTCTTTGTTTTGCCATTTTTATATCCCCAACTTGAGAATTCCATCAAACAAAAGGATAAAGGCTACATAATTGAGAATATGCAGAATATTTTGGATCCCAATTGTACCTTTTATATAACTAAATCCCTTCAGGAATTAGGTAGAAAAATAGGTTTTAGACAATTGAACTCTTCCAAATAAGTATAGAGAGGCTGCTAGGTAAACAATTCAACCCTAACAGTTTTTTAATAATATTTTTCTGAAAATAACCCTAACTGTTTTTACATTCAATACTTTCAGACCTAAGCCAGCCCATTAAAGCTTCACCAGAAATCATGCTAACAACTTTAACTTCAAAAATCAAATTAAAAATAAACGAATATACAGAAGATTGCAGGGTTAGCCAAAAAAAACCTCTTAGATTAAAAAAAAATACTGTTCCTGAGGATGAATAAATAAAGAAAACAGAAATTGAACGGGAAGAGATAAAGAAGAAAATATCGAGAAGGAACCTTCACCTGATGCAAGCTCGGACGATTCACCGGAGGAATCGAGATCGCCGACGAATATTTTCGGCGGTTAACAGACCGACCGCGCCGATACCCGCCTTTACCTTAATTACTTTCCCTAACTCGCAAGCTCATGGATCTAAGCCCAAACTATGGGCTTCTGGGCCAATGCTTCGATTGGACTGCTCTCTTATTATTTTTTAAAATATTTTTTTAGTATAATTTTTTTTTAAATTAAAATTTTTTATTTATTTTGATTCTTTAATTAATAATATAATATGATTAAACTATTTTAAATTAAAAAAATTCATCAAAGCATATTAGTATTGCAAAATAAGTCTCAAATTTGTGTGACAGCCGCTCCCCTTTTTTATTAATTTTTGGGAGAGTGTGTGAGAGGATAATTTCATATATATATTATATCTTAAAAATTGATTAACAAAAATTATTATTATTATTATGAAATCTGAGATGACATGTGCTTGATTTTCTAAAATAAGATAATAGTGATATTTTATATAAAACGCGTGAGCGGCAGGATTCGAACCTGCGCGGGCAGAGCCCACATGATTTCTAGTCATGCCCGATAACCACTCCGGCACGCTCACGGAATGGCTAATTTAGCTGTGCATCATAAATTTATTCACATTGTTTTGAATTTTGAATAAAATAAATTCAAATCTGATTATTCTCTAATAAAAATATAATATACTCTTATAAGCGTGCTTCAATTTGGCAATTGGCATTACAGTCATGCTGGCTCATTGTTACATCGCAAAATTATAGCGTTCATTGACAACATATACATGGAATACTTCTGTATTCAAGTCTTCACGGCGGAAATTATTGTGTCCGGTGTCCGAATTCATCCGGACACCAATAAAAATGCGCCACGTCACTCAAAAACACTGGGGCCCAGTGCATCCGGGTGAGGTGGCGTGTCCGAATTGGATGTTCACATGTCAGGTGACCGGATGCAATAATTTGCCCTTCAAGACACCCTGGGCATAGCCTCTTTGGCTTGCCAAATTATGTGCATGAAGACAAGGTTATCTAAAATTTTACTTTTCTTATCCGACAACTGCTTCGTTTAGGACAGCTTTTTTATTGCTTTTTAAAACAACTTTTTATTTTAAAAATTTAAAATTTTATACTAAAAAATTGCTTTAAGAAGCAGTAAGAAAACCGTCCCAAATGAAACCTACGACTTCGATTGGGATGGTTTTTTTATTGTTTTTAAAACAAGTTTTTTAGTAAAAAATTTGTTGTACTAAAAAGATATTTTAAAAAATTATAAAAAAGCTATCCAAAATGAAGCCTAATGCTGAGCAGTCAACAAACAAAGCTATTTTTTCAAAAGATAAACAGAAAAGATGCAGTAGATGAAGCCTGAAACATCACGAGATATATATAACAGTTCAGTTATCAAGAGAACCAATATCATGAAAGTTACCTTCATGAATATTTATTTCCACTGCATGTCCATCCATGGATATGAATGCTGAAGAAATATGAAGAAAAGAGAGAACAAAGGTAATGGAATAGCACTTGTAAGAAAAGTCGTTCGATAAAGTATAGTAAAAATAACATGAATCAATTAATAGGAATGAGCAAAATTAGCAAAGGAGGATTCATAAAGCCAACTCAAAATAGTCGGAATAAGGCTAATATGACAAACAACATGATATACCGCACTCCATACTGATTTCAATCTGATCTGCCAGAGGAGCTGCAGCTCTATAATCCAGCACTGAAGTCATAAGATAAAAAAGCCCAAAGAGCCTTTGTAATATATAAAACCTCTATTAGACAATATTAAGGTTTCGTTTGGGACGGCTTTCTTGCTACTTCTTAAAATATTTTTTTAGTATAAAAATTAAATAGAAAGCTGTTTTAAGAAACAGTAAGAAAGCCGTTCCAAACGAAACCTAAAATTCTATTTACAAGTAATGGGGTGTGAAGAATTTTGACCGCTGGCTATGAGGGAGCACCATTCTATGGTCATTTTTATGAAGGCAAGGACTGCGCAAACCTCCTTATAGCAAATACCTCAAGAGAAAGAGAATGAGAAGGTGGGGATGGATACAACAACGCTTGGGGTGTTAAAAATTAGCTTGCAGAGAGGATTGCTGTGTTAGCCCACCCTACCTGCTGGATTGCTTAAACAAGCAGCAATGAACAACTTCAGGGAATTGGGGTATATGATGACATAATTAGCTTATTCTAGGAAAGAAAAATGTTAAATTGATCTGTTGAGCAATAAGCATGTCAAGCTTGTGCTACCAATGACTTAGCTCTTGAATTTAAATCTCCATAAGTCGGGTCCTATATATAGTAGGGGTCAGATGTATTCTCAAATACAAATACTGGAAGGGTTCACATTAAATAAATAAACTACTTTTAACCATAATCCAACATATAGTGTTTATTTTTAATCATCATTTCACGATTACCATCTTCCTTCACCACACAAATAAATTGAAACCACAAGATGATGTGCTCAATCAAGCAGATAAGACGATTCAACAAGCTCCCTCCAAAGGATAAAGGCTTAGAAGATGACCTGCTGAAACACAAGTCTCAACAGGTAAAAAAATCCGACACGTTCAGTGCCAACTTCCCACCCAACAACGTTGGAGAGATTATTATGTGCGGTCTCCGGACCGTCCGGAGGCGAATCCGGACGCACCACATCACCCGGATGCACTGGGCCCCGGGTGACATGGCGCGTCCGGATTCGCCTCCTGATGAATCCGGATGCCGCACGTAATAATTTTCCACAAGGTTCGGGTGCCAAGTCAGTTTGCCCGGCAACATATTACCTTAGCAACTGTTGGGAATTGCCTATCAACATGGGGAGAGTGATTGATTGGTGTCCAAAGTTGTTAGGAAAAGCAATGCATAGGAGACACAATGTGGAAAGAAACTAGGCGTTATGAGCCGCCGCCTGACCTCACTAGAAGTTGTCTCCCAATCACTTTATATAAAAGGTCTACAGCCAACTAGAAAAAGTAATTGTGGGCATTGAAGCCCTATCGAACACTCTGCTACAATAAGATTTAACAACTCGGTAGCGACCAACACTAGAAATTCGTGCTTGCACGTGAAGTAGGAGCTATAAACCCATAATTGTAGTTTTATTACAATCAGCCCTTTAGTTATTGTTATGAATCAGCAAAAACCGGCCCAGGAGGGGCTGGTTCAGACGTACAGGAGGCGGGCTAAGCCGCCTCATTTTAAACCCACCGCTTAAGCGGGTGGGTCCCACCTCCTTGGGCGGCAACTTGAGAGAGGGGCGGTTCATGCATGAGGGCAATTTGAAATAAAATTATATTAGGAAGCTTTTTTATTAGAAAGGATGGTATTTAAAGAGGATGAGAAGATAGGGTTAGGGCATGCATTATTTGAGTTGTTCTTCTGGAGAGTTCCTTGGTGTCTTGGGCTCTAGATCTACAATATAGAGATTTGGAGAGACGAGCCTCCTCCCGAATTGAGGATCAATTGTATCTTGCTTTGAGTTTTGCTTTGCTTTGTTTCCACTATCACAATCTATCGTTTCTAGATTGATTTGTCCAAGTTTTTCTTATTTTTCTCGCTGTTTTGAACCAATTATTGTTAGGGTTGCTTGCGAACTCAAGTAAATCCGATAGGATTACTTGCGAAGTCAAGTATTTCCTACCAGTTATCTTCCCAAAGCTGCAACAAAGGAAATTTAAGTATATAATCATCTTGACACCATTGTTAGTGCTGGTGTCTTTAAGATTGCCAATTACCACTGTTATTGCCACCACTACTCTATGCCAAGGGCCTTAAAGCTAAAAAATGTTTTCATTGTTTAGCTGTTAAGTTATTTTGTCCTGACACCTTAGTCTATGAATGTTATGCCATTGTATTTCACTTTGTATTTCTCATACTTGATATCTCCCTATGTATCAGGTCAACACAAGATGGGATGGCAGAGAGCTAAAAAGAAGCAAGTCAATAACTATGCTCAACTGTTTGGTATTGTAATTGTCGACAACAATCCAACGGGTGGAAAAATTTATTAGATTTTTCTCGACAGATTTCAAGGTTATTTCAAACATTTTCTTTTGTTTTCTATATAGGCCGCATTTGTAGAGCACCAACCTTAGACTTGTATCAAAAACTTTTAATGAATTTTTAATTAAAAGAAATTGTGATGGGAATGTGCATTTTTCATTTTGTTTACTTGTATATCATCTGTGAGGTATACAAGCTATGGACAAATCTCCACAATAAATTTGGGTGCCAACTCTTAACCCAATGGGTTACTTGGGCACCAAGTCGAAGGTGTATTCTTGATGTCAAGTGCCTCTTAAATAAGTGGTTGATTCCCGCCATCTCTCAGCAATCCCCAACAAGTCAGTTCCAACATGACATCCATAATGAATTTCTACAGCTTGAATCGGTCAAATTTTTGGGGTCGTGACATTTTTCTACACAAGCAAACACCAAACTTCACCCAAATTAAAATCCCTCCTACCTCCCTACTTGCAGCTTCTTTATATAATTCTTATATACTAGCCTTGATTGCAGTTTGAACTCTAGTTCAAGCTTAAATCAAACTTTATGAGCCAAGTTGAGCTCAAATCAAGTTAGGAATGAAATGAGCTTGGTTTGTATATCCTCATCAATTAGGTTTGCTAATCAAATGTAGTTTTAAGTACTATATTAGTTTTGAGCTAAACGTGGAAGAATTTGATTTACGTGGATAAAATTACCTCAAACTTAGATGCCATGTAGTCCAAAGATTGAGCAATTTAAGCTATATTTTAGGTTAAGATAGATTGCCAAGGCATCAGGGACACACTTTCTGGAAAACAAGTACGCAAGCTTCATAGAACATAATTTAGGTCAGATCTTCATTGCTAAAATTTACCATTTTTTGCCAGAATCCAAGGTAAACATTCACCAGCTCACATTAATTTGAAAAATGCTAGTTAAAATGGAGTACTTTTGTTTACCCCAAAAACCTGGTTGAAAGTGGATTCGGTTGAGGAACTGATAAGGGCGATAAAATGAAGATCTATTAATGTTAGATAAAAGCATACAAGCCGACAAAGATTACTGTAGAGATCAAGGCCAGGAGTAACTTTTGGGAGAAGAATGTTTGCAGAATTTAAAACGACAGATGATGAGCATAGAGTGCGTAAATTACATGATGAATATTGTGGCTAGAAATAGGAACGTGACAAGACCTTATTATTGTTGTTTCATATACAATACAGGCAACTCATTTCTACGTCCAAAACAAATTACTCAGTGCCAACTATGACATCTACTGCCAGAAACAAAAACAAGTAGAAACCAAGGACATAACGGCATTGACAAAGAGCAGAATTACAAAACAAACTAGGTCTGAGCAGAGTTTAAGCTAACAAGTAGACTTCAAGCTTAACAATCTATGATTATGAGCTAGTATTTTATCCAAAACCCAATAATTCAATTAACCAAAGATTGGCCAAACGATCCAAGTATTGGATGCAAGAGGCGGGGAATTATTGACAAGCCTGCAGATAGATCTGTTTTCCTTCTTTCTTCTCTTTGTTGAATTTACTCTCCCAACGATTGCAATTTGCTGTCCAAACATTTAATTCACGGCCCTGAAGAGATTTCTATTAACTGAATCTTTTCAAAGATGAAATCTCGTTGCGTGGGCCGCTCCCTTGTCTGGTGATTTTCAATTTATGAAGAAAACTAAGAGATGGGAAGGAGGGGCGATAGCAGGTGCCCTTTTCTATCAGCTGTTGGAGTCTGAAATATTATATTTTTTAACTTAATTTCAGTAGTTTCCATTGCATCAAAAAACACATTGATAATACAAAAGATAGATTCACATCCCTAGCTACTTGAATCCTTACCTCATCCTCTACCATTGAATAGAGATAACTCGCTTTTGGTCGATGGAGAGAATTCCTTCTTTAGAGCGAATTTGAATTTACTCCTAGTCATCCTTACTAAAAAAATAGCTCCTTATTTCCACTTTCCACGTTATATCATGTGGCCAGATAACTTCAACTTGGTGAAGTTTATCTTCTTAACATGGTTGTACCTTATAAAGAAAAATAGCAAGATGCTTGAATCAGCCATTGAACTTCTCAAAGTCTACAATCTCGTTATATATCAGCACCTTGAGCTTGATGTCAACCTTGAATGGAAGTTGGAGTTCTATGTGAAAACTGATGGACCGGTTCACCCGGTCCATCCGCCCAGACCCGAGCGGGTCTACAACCGGAGAGGGAGGGCGGGCGAACCCGAGGGGAGCAGGGGGGAAGCCACGGTGGGCCCCTTGGGCCCACCTTTTGATCAAACAGCTGAAAGGGGGGGGGAGCGGAATGTTGAGGGGAGATGGAGGGTGGATTGGGAGGGGTAAATTAGGGAGGAGTTAAGAAGTTGGAGTGGTATGAAGGGGGGGATTAGGGTTCAGTTTTTGGGATTATGCTAAGTGAAGTCTCTTTCTAGTTTTCTTCTTGTTTTTCTCTAGGGTTTCTTGTGGGAGACCTTGTCCTTCTCGAAGTGGACAAACTTATCTTGTTTTCTTTTGGATTTCAAATACAAAGGTTCTTGTTCTTCATCTCATTTCTTTTGTGATTGTTTCTCCTTGGTTTTGGTGGAGAGATTCTCCTCTTTTGAGGGGAATTAGGGCAAAACCGAAGTTGTGAAACCCCAGGGCGTATCAAAAACCTTGATAGATGAACTTGCTCACCATACACTCGCCACCTAAAAATATTTTTTCCAACTGGATTGGCGACGTTTGTCTCATAATTTCCCTCATAAGTGAATTAACACGATTTATCATGGTTTGTCATTGTTGCAAAGCCATGAACTAATGAAAATCCCTTAGGATTTCCCTTATGATTTCAATCCATCTAGCATTTGTTGTGACAGTAGATTTTCCGGCTTGATTTGAGATTGGATCAGCCTCTTGGCTCGTATTAAGGTGTTCGGATCAGTGTGGGGTTCGGTTTTCTTCAATTTTTTTTTTTTCCTTCAACAAGCATAATTTATCTTTGATACCAAATATGATTTAAAAACCAATGACTCAAGGAAGCAAAGATTGGTCAAATGATCCTAGAATCTTAGATATAAAAGTTACATGGAATATATGGACAAGCCCATATGAAGTTTCTTCCAGCTCAATTCTTCAGTCTCCTGAAATAACTATCCAAACAGCTGAAATTTGTAGTCATTATTTTGGACAGATTTCTATTACCTGAAAGCTTCCAAAGATGAAATCCTATTGCACAGGACGCACCCTTGTCTGGTGGTTCTAAGTTTATGTCGGAAACTTGAGAGGAATGAGGGAGTAGAGTCGATATTACTGCCATTTCATATTGCAACCGTTAGACAGAGAGCAAGAAAGAGGGAGAGAGTGTGTGTTTGTGAAAACGGTGAGTAGAGAGGAGGAACACCTTAGGTTTTGACAATTTCGGTTTTGCCCTAATTTCCCCCCAAAAAGAGGAATTTCTCCACCAAAACCAAAGAAGAACAATCACAAGAGGGTTGAGATGAAAAGCAAAAACCTTTACATAAGAAAACCAAGAGAAAACAAGATAAGTTTGTCCACTTTGAGAAGGACAAGATCTCCCACAAGAAAACCCTAGAAAAGAGCAAGAAGGAGGCTAAGGAGAAAATAAGAGAGAGAATACACTTTTCATAATGATCCCCACTAAACCCTAATGGCTCCCTTCATACCAACACACAATTTCTCCCTCCCCAAAATGCCCCCACTTAAGTGGATGGGGCCCCTTGGTCCAACCGGACCGCCCGCCCCTCTCCCCTCCGCCTGTAGACCCGCACGGGTCCAGGCCAGACCGGTTTAGGGTGAACCGGTCCATCAGAATCATCTAAAATCTCAAATTTATATGTTGAAGTTCTATATGTTCCATTTCATCAAAGAGTTCTATTTAGAATAAAAAATAGTAAATTCAAACTCCTAACTAAATGGAAGAATCAGGAGATTACCTCCTTAAAAGTCAAAACAGACAAGGAAAATTGCTAATGACAAATACAATGTTTTATGTAGAATGATAATAAATGCAGGCAATAAATCCATGAAAAATATAAAGGAAAAAAATATAATAAGAAAAAGAGAAAAGTATTTTAAAAGACAATATTTGAATACAAAGTAAAACATAAATAGGCATAGCTAAACCTTGTGAGTGCTAAAAAAGTATTAATAATTGAAGTTGTGTCATGAATATCTGACATTTGAAAAGGCAAAAAAAGGAAACTTCGGCTAATTTTGCTTTCTTAGGCATTACAAATGCTTCAAAATGTATATTAAATAAATGATTCAATTTTGTTTTCTTGGAGGGTTGTTGGCTGAGCAAGCCCAATACAACCAATATAATTCCACAAATTTTGCCGACCTTTACTGATCCTTTTTGAACATTAACTAAATGATCAGTATTAATAAGGACACAATTTTATGAAATGAAAAATGTAAGAAGGAAGCATGCCAATTAATAAAGTACATCGTTATATATGAAATTACAAATGTGATGGTTACAACGGTCTAATCCTCTCCAGAAGCTTCTCAGCTTCAAGGAATCCCCCAAGTGGCCCCAAAGACAAGTATTTTAGATGTTTCCATCTGCTAAAACTATTAGCAGTTAAAATAAGAAGAACTTCAAATAAAATGTTTTCTTAAACCAGTTTCGATCATGTGGCAGGAGGATGGACAAAGTGGACAATACCTTGGGATAAAAGGTAATGCAAAACAATGAAGATGGAGATGATTGACACTGTTGAATGGAGGTTGATGAAATCCAAATCTGCAAAATGGCAAAAGAAACATGAATTACAGCAAAGCAGACATGCTAAACCTACAAAAAATATGATCCAATATAGGATAAATAAATGAATTTCTTATGTTGCATTACTTGTGTTGGTAGGGAAGATAATGCATCAGCAAAAATTACTCATTTCAAGGCAAGTCACTATCGATCAACGTTTTAAAAATCAGACCGGACCAGCCGGTCCGACCAGTTTAACCGCGAACCAGTCTGAAGGTCGGTCCGGTTCAGCCTTAAAAACCGGCTGTGAATCGAACCGGCCAGAACCGGTTTGAACCGCCGGTTCAACCGGAAACCGGCGAACCAGTCCCGATTTTCTAAAACCGGCCGGTTCAAACTTTTTTATTTAAATAATTAAATAAATCATTTAATATTAAATAAATGTTTAACTTAATCAATTAATATAAATATTATATTTTAAAACCTTAAATAAGTATTAAAGACTATGATTAAATATTACTTGCAATATTCCCACATGGCTCAACTACTCTATATGAGCTCCTATCACAAGTTAAAACAAAAAGCTATATAAACTATACAAACCAAAACTTCACAAGTGATGTAGGACTAAATCATACAAAACAAAAAGCTCTCTTTGATTTCATGTATACACTACACAAAGCAAAAGTGCAAAACATCTTTTTTTAATGGTTTTTTAATTAATCTTTATAATATGAATAATATTTATTTTTTTAGTTGATAATATTTAATTTTTATTTTTTATCCATTTATTTTTTATATATTTGATGTACCTTGGTGTATGCTTTTTGCTGATGATATTCTTCTTGTTGATAAGACTAGAGAGGGAGTTGAAGGTAAACTTGAATTATGGAGGTCAACCTTAGAGTCTAAAGGTTTTCGCTTGAGTAGATCTAAAACGGAATATATGGAGTGTAATTTTAGCAGTAATAGTCCTAGTGAGGGGATTGTGACTTTGGACGATCAAGTCATTAATAAGAGTACACGTTTTAGGTATCTTGGATCTATTGTTCAGAGTGATGGTGAAATAGATGGGGATATTATCAGCAGAATTCAAGTTGGATGGTTGAAGTGGCGGAATGCATCGGGCTTGTTATGTGATAGAAATGTACCCCTCAAACTTAAGGGAAAATTCTATAAGATGGTAGTGAGGCCTGCAATGCTTTATGGTGCCGAATGTTGGCCATTAAAAGAGAAGCATAATACTAAGTTAAGTGTGGCAGAGATGAGGATGCTTAGATGGATGAGTGGCTTTACCCTTAGAGATAGGATACGAAATGAGCATATACGTGAAAAGGTTGGAGTAGCTCCAGTAGAAGATAAGATTAGAGAGAGTTGCCTTAGATGGTTTGGTCACATAAAAAGGCGGCCTTCCGACGACCCAGTTAAGAGAGTAAAGGTATTAGATTTGACTTGTGTTAAGAAAGGTAGGGGTAGACCTAAAAAGACTTGGTTAGAAAATATTAGGAATGACCTTTCTTTATTAGATTTAAACGAGAATTTGGCTTTTAATAGGACACAATGGAGAAAAAGGATTCATGTAGCCGACCCCACGTAGTGGGATAAAGGCTTGATGTTGTTGTTGTTGTTGTTGTTGTATTTATTACATCATCCAGTTTGACCCCGGTTCGACCGCAAACCTCTTCTTCTTTCGGTTCATTGTCCGGTCCGGTTTTCACAACCTTGCTATCGACAATTAAGTTGTATTATTAGTGTTATGATTGGTCCAAGATTTACCTGTGTACTTTCTTTAGTTAGTTTTCTTTGTAGAGTTTATGTTACTTTGTTTAAAATCTTGTGTAGCCCTTTGAGCTAACATTTAGTGTCTATAAATAAACACAATAAGCTTGTAATAAGGCATTGAACTCAAAAGCGAAATATAGAAATCCATTTCATATTTTCAGATCTCTCTCTCCCCTTCCCTCTCTCCTCTCTCTCAATAAGCTCAAGAGGAAGTGCTTCTTCCTCTCATCCAAGATTCTACAAGTGGTAATCAGAGCCTGTTGGAGGCAACCGAGTGAGGTGGAGGTGATCAGGGATGAAGGCTGGGCGAGCGCGTGTTGGGAGCGACGGGTCGTAGAATGGAGCCTGGTCTCATAGGAGCAAGTCGTGCGGGCTGAGCACAGAACGAGCCATGTGGGGCACAGGTTGAACACGAAGCACTGAATGGGTCGTTGGTCGCACGCTTGGCAACACAGGGAAGAAACGCTGGCAAAGGCATATGCTCAAGTAGGACACACAGTAGAGACACACGAACAGAGAAATGCACTGCCATGTGGGGGTTTCGTGGGGTTAAGGTTCGCATGGGGTCACGGTATGCACAGGGTCAGAGGAACACACGGGAAGAGGCTTACGCAAGCGAGCAGATCACAGGTTGCGAACGATATTGGAGCTAACGGAGCAGACGGGCGAAGCATGGAGATAGGTGTGCGGGCTAGCTGGGCACAGAAGGGTGCTAGTTAGGCACGACAGGAGCAGTGCTCGAGACTGGCTGCATGGGACGCAATGCGGCAGGGGAAGCCGTAGGTGAACTAAGGTGGGTTGCGGTTTTGTTGCTCGGGTGCAGTTCTTACAGTCTGATTCGAACGGCAAATAACGACCGAGGGAATTCTTGCTACAATTCTTGAACATGTCTATGCAAAAGTTCAAAATCGACAAGTTTACCGGAGATAACGACTTTGGATTCTGGAGAATCAAGATGAAAGCTCTCCTTGTTCATCAAGGAACTTCCGAGGCAATTTCCAGAGAAGATCTTGTTGTCGTAACTGATCGAGCATGGGAAAAGAAAACACAGTTGAAGGCACATAGTGCAATCTTGTTATCACTCGGCGATGAAGTCTTAAGGAAAGTAGTTGAAGAAGGTTCTGCCATATAAGTCTGGGAGAAACTGGAGTCCCTATACCTGAAAAGATCATTGGCCAACCGTTTAGTAAGAAATGCTTCCATTGTAAAGATTTGAAGAAACATATTGATGAATTTAATAAACTAATCTTTGATCTTAAGAATGTAGATGTAAGGATTGAGAAAGAAGACCAAGGTATTATCTTCCTAAGTTCTTTGTCGAAGTCATATGAAAATATAGTGGATATATTACTATATGGCAAGCAAGCGTTAACTATGACAGAGGTAAAGTTAGTCTTCGTGTCCAAACAATTGCAGCGTAGGAATGAGGACAAAGATGTAAGCGTTGGCGACATTCTTGTAGCAAGGGGAAGACGTGAGTCCAGTAAGAGATGATTGCATTGTCGTAAGAAAGGACACTTCAAAAGAAATTGCCCAGATCTATTGAAGTGAAAGGGAGTTAGGCCCAATGACGAGGCCAACATAGTTGAGGCAGCATATGAATACATGGATGTTTCGTAAATCTAGGATTAAGGTGGAGTTTGTTATGATTGGTCCAAGATTTACCAATATACTTTCTTTAATTAATTTTCTTTATAAAATTTATGTTACTTTGTTTAGGATCTTTTGTAGCCCTTTGAGCTACTATTTAGTATCTATAAATAGACACAATAAGCTAGTAATAAGGCATTGAAGCCAAAAGCGAAATATTGAAATCCATTTTAGATTTCTAATATCTCCCTCTCCTCTCTCTCAAGAAGCTCAAGAGGAAGTGATTCTTCCTCTCATCCAAGATTCTCCAATTAGCATAAACTCAATTATTGCTTCAAATGCAACTTGGCTCTGATATAAAATTACTTACTATCCAGTACCCACTAACCTCTTAAACTCACATATGCATGTGCACACAAGCATATAGGCACACACATCATCCTTAAAAAAATAAATAATATAACAACAACAACATCAAGCCTTTGCCCACTACGTAAAGTCGGCTAGATGAATCCTTTTTCTCCATTGTGTCATGTTAAAAATCAATTTCTCATTTAAATCTAAAAAAGAAAGATCATTTCTAATATTTTCTAACAAAGTCTTTTTAGGTCTACCTTTTTTAGTATAAGTAAAATTTAATACCTCTACTATCCTAATCGGGTCATCGGAAGGCCGTCATTTTATGTGACCAAACCATTTTAGGTGACTCACTTTAATTTTATCTTCCATTGGATCTACTCCAACCTTTTCACATATATGCTCATTTTGTATCATGTCTCTAAGGGTAAATCCACTCATCCACCTGAACATCCTCATATCTGCAACACTTAACTTAGTATTATGCTTCTCTTTTAATTGCCAACATTCTGCACCACAAAGCATTGCAGGTCTCACCACCATCTTATAGAATTTTCGCTTAAGTTTAAGGGGGGCTTTTCTATCACAAAACAAGCCTGATGCATTCCTCCCCATCTATTTCCCCATCACTCTGAACAATATATCCGAGATATCTAAAACGTGCACTCTTATTAATGACTCGATTGCCCATCACAATCCCTCCACTAGGTCTATTATTACTAAAATTACACTATATATATATTCATTTTTAGATCTACTCAAGCGAAAACCTTTAGAATCTAAGTTTGACCTCCATAATTCAAGTTTAGCTTCAACTCCCTCTCTAGTCTTATCAACAAGAAGAATATCATCAGCAAAAAGCATACACCAAGATACTTCCTCTTAAAAAAATAAATAATGATAACAAATAATAATAATAATAGGTATATATGTATATATTTATAATTTATATAATAAAAATTTTGTCTATTTAATTAAGAAATGAAGTTATGGATGTGGCAATTTCAAACCCGCATTAGTGCAAAAAGGAGTATTCCCACACACACCACCCAATTTTAAATATAAAAAAATATAATCTTAAGGGGCATCAAATTTCATCCTTAAATGTTGCTAGGGGCGTCAATAAACTTCCTCATGTAAATCAAAAGGGGAAAAGTCCTTGCATAGAAATACAAATAAATAAGATATAGGGAAATCATCTATCACCCCTATGTTCATTACAGACACTGAATCTGGTGCCAACCAAAAATTAATACGGGTCGACCAACCCCAAATTAAAAAATAATAAAAAAAAGACATTTAAAACCCTTCTCCCAACCCCCTTCCCCTCCTTTTCTTCCCTCCCGCACAGCCATGTTGAGCCCTCTCCTTCTCCTTTGCCTCTCTGTTTCTTCATTATTGCTCCATCTTGCTTTCCTTTTCTCTCCCAAATCTCAGTAGGGGGAAGGTTAGAAAATTTTGCAGCTCCTCCACATCATATTTAATCAAAATATTGCATACAAATGAACTTGAATTTGCCCATAAACACTTTTGTTGGTATGATGGGGTGAATTTTTTAATCTATTACGTCACACACATCACACCCAAAATGCCTTTATTAATGTGGCGGGATGGATTTCTTCTACTTCCCCACACGGGGAGCACTGTCAAATTTCACACAAACTTTTTAAGAGCAAAAATAGGTCTTCTGAAACATAAATAATAGGATTAAAGAGTAAAAAAAAACACTAAAAGGTGAAAAAATTAGTCAAGAAAAATACCCATAATCGAATAAAAATAGTATAAAAGTAGCTCGGTAACAAATGCGAACAAAACTACATTACCTCCTTTTCGTGCATTATGAACACAAGCAAACAAGAAAATTATGTGTGCATTGAACCTACTTAAAGGTCTGGATTTCTCCACTGCAAGACCTACCTAAGTATGATTGTAATTAAAAGCAATTACCAAAATTTAGCATTATAATTCATGTGCGAGCAAACAAAACTCTTAAAAAGGTAAAAAATAAACCTACATGATGTGCATTGAAGTGTCATGTAAATCTTGAAAATGAAGCCACCAGTGAGCTTCAGTGGCTAGCTCTAGAGCAAACATATCATAGTCATGTTAAAAAATATACAAGAGACACCATATCATAGTCATGCCAAAAAATATACAGAAAACACCAAGAACTTGAACTGGGGACCTCTAGTTTTTTATATCATGCTGAAAAATAACAATTAAGGAATAAATGAAAACTTAAGCATATTGGCTAAGGTTCTAGATCAACTTCAAAATCCAAACTGACCACGAGATAATTTAGTCAAAAAAATGTAGAAAGCATCGTGCTTGATACCTATATAACTTAGATTCGGGGGCATCTTGTCGAAGAAGACTTCGTCCAACATCCAACATATGACTAACTGAAAACATCAAAGATGTTGAAGATTCCATTAATACACAATTCAAGAGAAATTCACTTTCATGACATATAAATCACTTAACATAATAAATCAGGAGCAAAAGTACCTAACTGATAATCTTCGGCCCTCCTGAGGAGATGGTTAACAGTAGGAATGTGGTTTTTAGGTATGACAAGGTAATGCCTACCAAATCACCAATTGAACAGAAAAAAGAAATAAAAATGGTTATGGAAGTAAGAACATAATCAAATCAATCGCCGTATGAATAGAATGAATTAACTAAACGCGGATAGATTGAAAATGGTTTAAAAATAAGAAGACTGACTAACAATCGAATAGATTGATCACCTAAAGGCTGACGGATTGATATCGGGGAATGCACTGACTTGATCATCCTGAATCAAAGCCACAGAAGGTGAGCAGCTCTTACTTTAAAGCAAAGAAGAAAGAAAGATAAAAAATCAAATTAGAAAAGGTAAAAAAAAAATTAAAAAAAAAGGCAAGTGACTCGAGTTCAGACTGTGTAGAGAAGATGAGTGGAAGTCGAAGAGCGAGCGATCTGACAAAATAAGCACAGCTGCGCTGATCCCGCCATGGCCAAAGCCAAAGCTTCAAGTGCCCTAAACCCTTGCAAAATCAGCAAGAAAAAAAAAAAAAAAAGAAACGGTATTTCCCTCTTTAAAGTTTGGCTTTGAGAAATAATCCTATCAATAAATTATAAGAGATTTACTCCAACTCAAATCTTTTAGGCTTTATTGGGATGATTCTTTTATTATTTTTTAAAATAGAATTTTATTTAAAAATTTTAATTTTTTACTAAAATCTGTTTTAAAAACAATAAAAAAAAGCTACAAATCGCTGGCATCTTAAGTTTTTTTTTTTTTTTTTTAAAACAATAAAAAAGACTTTTCAAAGCCTTACTTTAAAGGATTTTAAAATTATGAATGACCTCTGTCAAGTGTTACAAAAAAAAAGTTGCAAACTATTTTCAGTATTTTGAATACAGTCCATTTGGTATTAATAATAAAAAAGTTTCCATATATAATTTCAAATATGTCTAATGTTGGCAAATATGAAAAAACCTATCATATATATTTTTAATGATCTATTAATTAAGATTTTATTTAGGACGGCTTTGTTACTGCTTCCTAAAGTAACTTTTTATACAAAAATTAAAAATTTTGTATTAGATTAGACCAACTAGATAAAGTTTAGAGCAACTAAGGCTTCGTTTGGGACGGCTTTTTATTGCTTTTTAAAATAGAGTTTTAGTAAAAAATAAAAAAATTTGTACTAAAACTCCGTTTTAGAAAGCAATAAAAAAGTAGTCCCAAACGAAGCCTAAGACTTCGTTTGAGACAACTTTTTTACAGCTTTTTAAAACAATTTTTTAGTACACTTTTTTTTTTGTAAAAATTTATTCTTAAAACTACTTTAGAAAGCAATAAGAGAGTCATCTCAAATGAAATCTTAGAGACTCAGGGAGAACATAGGTTGATTAGAGCCTGTGACATTTGTTGAGAAATTATATTAGCTGTGTAATATTGTGAGAAAGAAATATCATAAATTATTTTATATGCCCTTAAAATCATTAAAAAATATGAAATAAAAAATAAAATATATTTGATATGCCTCTCAAAATTGATTTGAACAATCACATACTTGCATGCAATTTTTAAGCAAACAAAATATCCAATTGTACTATTAGAAATCTATTATAATGTTAATAATTTTAAAAATTAATTCATGATAGTATAAATTCTAATTTCAACAAATTTATAATCAAAACAATCAATCATATGTGGTATTTCTGCAATTATCTAAATCATCTCATCCAAATCATAAAAAACTTAAATAAATGAGGTTAAAATTATAATTAAAAAATGTTAACTTATTTAGAGTTCCAAATGATTTTTTTTTTTTTGGCTTACTATACTCAAAACGATTCTCTCATTGAAAACATTATAGATGGTCCAAATACACAAATTTGAATTTATTTTTTTGCATCAAATGACCAAAAAAAAAAAAAAAGTTTGTAATGAGAGCTCGCCTTCTTCCTCCAGCTATCGTTTGCGGCAAAGTATTAACTCCGGTGTCTTGATTCGTCTGGACACCAATCCAAATGCGCCACGTCACCCAAATATACCGAGCCTCAGTGTATTTGGGTGACGTGGCGCGTCTGGATTGGATGTCCGAACATCCGGTGACCAGACGTAATAATTCGTCATCGTTTGCACCATTACTCCCCTAATCAACCAATCGACCAACATGAGTTATGTCAAAAAGCTCTCACTCAAAAAATCACTCCAAATGTGCATCATTCGTTAAGAAATTTTAAAGATTTAGACTTTGCTTGAGATAATTTTCGTACTGTTGTCTAGTATAAAAATCTCTTAAGCTAAAATTTTTTGTACTAAAAAATCATTTTAAAAAACAGTAAGAAAACTGTCACAAACAAAGCTTTAATCTTCTCATAATTTTTTATACATCTATACCTAGCAAAATCGATATAGGCTCCACAATGATGCTTCAATAAAATATGAAAATTTTCATTGCCTAAGGGCATCTCCAACCAAAAATCTCATTTTTCACTACAAAATGTCGTGAAATTGAAAAATGTCGTGGTTCAGCTCCAATCAAACTCCATTTTACCCCCTAAACACTCGTTTTCTTCTTTCACGCGTTTCTTAGGCAAGTTTAGTAGAGACAGAAAAATAGTGATGATGAACAGAGCAACGTCAACATTGACGTCCCACTGTTCACCCGCAGTCAAATAGCGGAAGTTTTGTCATTCGGCTGGAGCTCAGGAGCGACGCCATACGAGTATTTGGAGTTCAGTTGGAGATGCCCTAAAAAAATGTTTTGACCTTCTCTCCACCATTAGAACCTGTAATGTTTACTTCTTTCAAAGTCTTTTATTCTTTCATGTCTTCATTGGAGCAGTTGGCCTCTTGCCACCATGAAAACAAATGATCGTCCAAAATGTCAACTCGGGGTACACCAAGTCGTCGTAACTTGGTACAGTCTTGCCACAATCAAAGGATGTTTTTTTCCTTCACCGTGAAGTTTTTGTAGGGTGGTGTGTAGTAATGATTGTTGCCTTGGATCTGAAATAATTGAGAAGGGAGAAAAAACATAAGCAAAAACTTGATTAACTTTCACAATTACTAGGGCAACTTTACTTGTTCTAAAGTGGAGGTTTTATAAAAGGCCACACCGCAGCGCTTCCAAGAGATTTTGTTTTCGGGTCAAAATATAAAGAGCTTGGCACCATAGCACCCTGAGATCCAAGATAGGATAGAATACAGAGAACACAATACTGTAGCTCTCAGACCTCAGCACTACTGCAATTTCGAAGAACATATTTTCTCTACCCATAAATAGAGAAGATAGTGCTGCAACGCCACAATGCTCATAAGAGATTTTTTCATACACATGCAGATCTTCACACATGACTCTTAGGACTCGATCTATTACAAAAAATACATACAAAAATATTTACAGAGACCATAGTCCCACAATGTAGGACTTCTATAGACCAATGTTGCTTGATGACACAACTTAAAAAAATTATCTTGATCACACGCGAATCTTGAGGCAAAATCAAGTTGAAAAGCTTCATAAATTAAAATTGCGACCATCCGAACTCTGATTTCTGCAAACTTACAGTCGAATTGAGCGTCTCGGAAACACAAACCCAACGGCACCAAAATTGACCCAATCCGAGCCCAACTGAGTCCAAATCAAAGACTCGAAGCACTTTTGGAAGGATCAAACCACAATTTGGGTTATCAAACGGTTTTCACTCATAAAATGCTTATAGTCGAATCGAGGGGCTCAACGAGACGAATCCAACAAGCCCAATATCATCAATTTTTGATATCATTAAGATAGTCAAAAGTCCATTGAACGATGTATGATCGTAGAAATCAAGATCGGCCGTCCATCTGAACCACTCCAAATTTACCATTGATCTTCCACTTATTTCATGCCACTCATGAATGGTATAAATAGAATCACATTTCCTCTTTAAATTGGGGTTGAGCTTCAGCCACCTAGCTTCTCTTCGACCACCATCGGAGTTATGCCGCTCCACCGTCGGACCACCAAGGGACACCGGAGTTCTTTCGAATCACCACCAGACCATCAAAGGACGTCGAAGTGCCACATGAAGCCGGAGTGCCCTCCCCCCCCCTGACGCTGCAGTGCCATTGTCGGACCACTGCCTGACACCAGAGTGCTGCCGAACCACCACCTGACGTTGGAGTGACACTGGACTTTTGCGAAACTTTCAGTTGACATTTGTAATATGTCGTCTTCAAGGATGAGTCGGACCATTATACTTTACTCAAATTCTAATTGAATCATTTTCATCTAGGCTAGACCCCATGGATTTTTCCCTTTCTCGAGTATTCCACGTAAAAAATATTGTGTTTTTTGTGTGTGAGCTAGATATTCGTGCTACGTTAAGACATATATTTATAACCCTATCGTAACGTATATTGTAGTCCGCAAGAAATATCGTAGAATCCCATGATATTCGATTCTTGAAGCCCAATATCACCCTTCACCAAAATGAACGGTTGATGTTCATTGTCACTCATTGACAACATGAGCTGAGCCTAAATAGCGTCGATCACCACCGCAAGAAATATCTCTAATGGTCCGAAGTTGTATATTCTACTCTCATTTTCTCCAATTAGGGTAAAGTGCGTATTTTGTAGCTTCAATCAAACGGTGGATTTGTTTAAACTATATTAGGTTTCATGATTTTTTTTAATAAATTTTTTTTGTTGTTGTTGCTTTAAGGAAACGACATCAAAAATAAATAAAATGAGTTATTTCAAAATCCTCAATCTAATATATATATTGTTGCGTCCTGGAGTATTCGCGGCGGTAGAGAAATATATAGTTTAACGTCTTAGCGTTGTACGAAGATCCAGCACACAATCAGATAAGTGAGAGGATGTAGCATTCATAAGTGACACCAGAGTTTTCACGTGGAAAACCCTTGAAAAAGGGGGAAAAACCACGGGGCCTGGCCCGGTTTGAATGAATCCACTAGTATTTGTAGTCGATTACAAATGAGGCCCTTCCTTAGGAGAAGGCCTTGGGTTGATGTAGCAAATGTACATCATATAGATTGCATTACATGGTAAAAGTTACATATACAGGTTTGTTTGGCCGAATGACCATGTCGCAAGTAGACCTTAGTTTGCAGATACCGATAAGTCGCCGTAGACCTAGTCTGCCGTTTAGACCTATGTCTGCAGGATACCTAGTCTATGCCGTGAGACCGTGTCGCCAGTTAAGACCTATTTCTTGAGACCTAATGGTCCGGAGACTTTGTCTTGTGATGTTTAGGTCGGACACCGTATTAGTCACAGTTCAGTAAGTGACCGTAGCTGTAGGAGATAAGGAGTCATGGTTTAGTCCCATTGTCCACTTATTCGATGTTGTTGTATATCTCGTTATTCATTTTATTTCATTTCTCTTATATCTTTGTTGTTCTTCATCGAGTGGTACGTCTTACTTTAACGCGTGCCTTTTGAACAAATTACCGGTCTTTTTTGCCAGTGATTAATATAGTAGCATGTTATTCTATTCCTTAAGCAGACTTCGGTCGTTCAGTCATCTAGGATTCTGTAATTGTCGGGCCTTTAAGCAGTGACGTGGTCTTTTCAGCATGACGTAGGACTGGAAC